CTTATTTACATTTCATTTTGCTGTAATATTACTTTGCTGAAACCTGATTAGGATTCACTGGGTCTGCAGGAGTGCTAGTAACTTTCTTTTGCTAAACTTAATCATTTATTGTTTTTCAGTGTGTTTCCGAGACTAAATGAATCTAAACTGTGGAGAAGTGTCATATCTTAGAGCCAAAAAGTAATTACTGATTTAGTACCATAGCAGAACAGAGAAGATCTGTAAATTTAAAACAGATTTGTACATTTTTATTGGGAATTGCTCTACGACAAACATTTTTTTCTTTTGACTTCATTACTTTTTCCTCACACTAGTGGATAGAAAACTTAACCCTAATTTTGATTTCTAAATGTCTATTTCCAGATTATAGCCTTAGATAAATAATAATGATTTCCATTTATGCCAAGGATTATAGTTTTGTTAATTTAAGGTTCTTTAAATATGATCAAAATTAGACTCCTTCCTGTGTTTCCTTCAAAATAATAAATCAAATACTTTGCTGCAAACTAACCAATGTGCTTAAAAAAGAAAAATCAGAAAATTGTTTGCTTTTTGTTTCAGTCAAACCAACTTTAAAAAACAAAAACAAAACATCTGTTTATATTATATATGTTTTTAAGATTGATAAAACCCCAGACGCACATTGTTTTCAGACAATAACAATACATGACTGTTAAATCGGAGGCATGATATATTCAAAATGATTCGATCATTCCTTTATTCTAATAAATTACATTTTTCTTGTTTTGTAGAGAAAGATAAAGTTATTTCCACTCATATTATTAGACCTATAGTGGTATGCAAATCTAAACTCCTGCTGTAAGCAGCCCATCATCAACCTTTGAGGACGGGAGATGTGTGTGCGAATGTGAGATTAAAAGATCGAGTGGTGCTGCTGCAGACAGCCTGTAATCTAAGCTGTTAGGTGTCCTCTTCATTCGGGCAGATCATCTGTCTGATTCATTCTCACACACAGTGATCAGCTTCACAGCAACTTCAGCTTTTTTTTTTTTTTTTTAATACATTCAATGTTCATATTAAGCCAAGATGTAGAGATGATTTTATACGGTTATAAACTCCACTGTTCCTCATCATCTTGAATATCTCCCCTGGTCGGTGCTTTCAGAGGGATTTTTAGGAAATGCACTGATGTGTTTTTGCTCCATGTTTTGTATAATCCAGGAGGATTTGATTTATATCGGGAGCCTCTCCCTGCTTTTCTGCTGTGCTCCTCAGAGCGGAAGGTCAGACAGAAGCAGGCCTTAAGTTCCTGCTTCCAAAGAAGCACAAAAAGTTTACTGCTATGGGAAAAAAAAAAAAACAACCTATGCCTCACTGATTTTAAAGTGCTGTCCAGTTTTTTTTTTTTTATGTTAAATTAAAAATGCTTACCCAGGATTCAAGAGATTACAGTTGGTGAGGAAATGTAGGGGATTTAATCTCCAATTTATTATGCTACATCAGACTGTAACGAATGGTATTCTACAACAGATTATTTTATTATATTAAGAAAAAAAAATGAGTAGAAGTGAACAAAATCAGCTGCTTTTTTAAAGAGATAATAAGACGAAAACTGGTCTGTTTTAGTTGACCTTGTCATCATCAACATAGTAGTGAAATCCTGAAAAAAAAATTTAAATTCGTTGTCACTATTACTAAATTATTTAGTGTTTAAATTAGTCTTTTTTGCTGTGACTTGATTATACAACACAATGTTTCTGTGATCATTGTTTTTAAACAAGAAATTGGTGCACAAATTTAAGTTAATGTTAAGATTTTCAATTGACATTCAAAGTTTAATGTTTGCATTCTTACAACTCATGATGTGAAAACATCCATCTCTGGTGTTTTGCTTGCATCAATCAGTTTTTGGGGTAAATCTGGCTGCGACTGATTGGTACTCTTGGTCGAACTGTATGGAGTCAGAAAGGGGTCAAAATGTTTGTAAACTTATAAACTAATATTTGAAACTGAAAAGATAGAAGTTGATATTGAATGTCGAATTTTTACCTTATAATCCGAGAAACTAAAAAAGCAAACATAAAATAAGAATTGGGTCTAAATTCTTCCCTTCAGCTTGAAAAAACACAATTCAGTTTAGTATTTTAATTACCCTTTTTTTTAATTGCTGTTTTTGATTTTTTAGAAAAGAAATAAAAAAAATAAATAAAATGTGTAATCAAAATACTAAACTTAATTTAGATTCAATTTTTATTTTGCTTTTTTAGATTCTCGCATTATAACCTAAAAATGTTGACATAAATATCAACTTCTACTTTCTGTTTCATCTAAGATTTAGAAGTTTACAAACTTTTTGACTCCTTTCTGACTCCGTAGAACTGCTTTACTGTGATTCAGCACGCAGCCAATCAGGGGGCTTGAATTTTGCCCTAATTATATTCAAAAGAAAATAAACTTGTGCACCCTGTTCTTATTTAAAAAATATTACAGCTGTATGTTGTGTAATTGAGTCACTGTGGGGAGAATCATTAAACTGAATTTTTAATTCATGTAGAAAATGAGACAAAGCAGAACAAAAAGGATTTAGAATTTATAAAGTCATGACTGATGTTTCTGCTCCTCCTAGTGACCATCTAATGCATCAAAATTAAACTGCAGAGGCCATGGAGATAGATTTTGACGGCAAACTGGGCTAATTTAATCAACAGTTTAGTCCATTTGGAGTGTTAGACAAAACAAACTACTGAAAGTTAATTTTTTTTTGTCGAGATTTGAATGCAAATAAGCATTTAAATTAACGCATTCTTTATTTTTTATTGGTCAGCATATTCAGAAGTCCAGAGTATTTCACTGTGTTTAACTGGTTTCTGATGTTTAATAGAAGGATGTTAGATTATTAACAAAATGGGAGCCTGTTAGATGTGTGAAACGCTCCCATCCTTTGATAACAGCTGCTCTAAGGTCTCCTGTTAAAGAAATAAAAGGTTTAAGGGAGAAAGTGAAGCTAAAACTGACCGAGCACTGAAATGTGTGTGTGTGTGGTGTTCTGCACACCTGGGTGTAGCTTTCTCATCGTCACGTGTCCAGATCAGGTTGAGAAATCAGCCAAACTCACTGATGTGTCTTAAAGTTGACCGATGCCACTTATTTCTTTTTTTTATTGTTATCTAAACTGTTTGATTGTCCATTCATGCCTCATTTTATATTTTGAATTTAATAAAAACATCAGATTTTTGTTATTTTTTTGTACAAAAATGTTATTTCTTTTAGTTTGATGTCATTTTAAAGGATCAATCTGGTTAGCAGGGTTTGTTTAGAAGACGAAGATTTTACATTATGCAAAATGGCTGAACTAAAGTAGCACTAATACGGAGATTAAAATGCTTCTAAATTTCAGTTTGTTGTGTATTTATTCTTTGTAAACCTAGTGACTGCATGACAAGCAGTTAGAAGGTCCCTGGTCAGGCCTTCCTTGGTGCTTTCTGCAAGTCTCCCTGGCTCCGCCCACAAACATGCATGTTTAAGGCTGCAAGTTATTGGAAAAATAGGTGAAATTATTGGTAAAAATTGGGCAAATGGTGTTACTTACACATCTGCTTTTGCTTTACTCCTAGAGTGACCCTCCATGCAACAGGATACTTCTAAACCAAATCTTAACATGTTAAAATAGCAAATTCATAATATTTGGGAAAAAATTTCAATGGACTCCATGTACAACTTACCTACGTCCTGAACATACAAAAATACATGTTTCCTGTCTTTTTCTACTGTATGAACTAATTAATCCAGATGTTTGTGGCCATGGTTACTGAGGTCTGGCACACCTGGATTAATCAGTTCCTCCAGTAGAAAAAGACGGGAAGCAAAAGAGCTGCTTAAGTTAGGAAGTAGTGGAGTTGTGCTTAGAGGCTATTACTGCATTCCAGTTTTTTGCAACGTTTATATAGCATTCATTGACATAGTAGTTACAAGCTGTTCAAGGTTTAAAGGTGCAGTTCGACTGTTTAATCTGCCAGATCTAAATTGCCTTCTTCTGAACCGATGTCGTCTCTTTTAGTATGTACCAATTGCTGGAAATGGAGCGACTTGCTTACATAAACCTATAAGGATTATTCACCTTGAGATAAAAGTACTGATACCCATGAAAAGATTGAAGCATCCCAACCACCGACCTCCAACCTTATCTTACATGAAAGATTCAAGAAGGAAGCAGAGAACTTTGAATGGGAAGGAATTGGTTCCAATTACAAGATGTCTAATTATTTCTTTCAGACAAGATTGGACCAGTGTTGAAATAAAAACTGGGTAATGATGTTTGATTTTCCTGTATTGTTCTCCATTTATTGAGGACAGCACTCTGTTTTTAAAAAATGTAAGATTTTTTTTATATTAAATCGACACTTTTATTATTTGGTTTTTCATTTCAACCATTTGGTTTCTAATATTTTGCTTTTTTCACCCACCAAATACAAGTTCTTTCAAAAGTTGTATAGAAAAAGGCGCATTTTTTTTGCCCTTTAGATCCTATAAGGTTTAGAACAGACCTGCATTTCTGCGAAATACAGCCCTGAAGAAGACGTTAATGGAATTACTATCTTTAGGAAAGTAAAGGCACCATTGCTTAAAAATCGTACTTCAGTTCGGTTTCCTTTTTTTTTTTAATAAAAAAAGAAATGGATCTTTATCCAGGTCACACAGTTATGTATGATTTTTACAAAACTATATATAAACTTTTGAGTTTGGCTCAAATGTCCAGAATTTTATAACAAATGCAAGAAAAAATAAATGCATAGATGTTGAAGCCTTCCTACAATTTCTCAACTTTGTCAGATTTTTTTTAAATAATCTTCCAGGAATTATTCTACAAGGAACAGATTTGCAAAAAAACACATTTAAGAGTTGTCCTGTAAATAGGTTCTCCTACCTGAACCGTATGTCTCCCTAATTTAATGGAGTCACCATGGATCACATAAAATCCCAATAAATAAAAGACAAGTAGAAAATGGATGGATAAAAGCTTCATTTGAGTTCAGTGTTCATTTTAAAAATAATTTATTGGTCTGTATGTACACGGGAAAAAAACTGAAGTAGAAAACAGAATAATAAGTAGAAAAGACATAATGTACAATAGTAATCTTTACACTGCATTCAGGATGTCTGCTGCCCCCAGAGGTGAAACGTTACTCTGAGCAAACAGGCAATACTTTTAAACTGTACACAGTAGGGAGGGAGTCACGCCCGACTGGCCCCCTCCTCACCAAATCACCCTGCAAAGAAGAAAAAAAAAAAAACCTCATAAAACATCGGCCATATTCATTCCCGTAGGAAACCGTCTGTCAGGATAAGGAAAGAGTGGCGTTGGTTAGGTGTCGAATGGATGGGCGTGAGGTTTGGTTCAATCTGCATAAAGACTCTGTCCGGTTTCAACAGAAGGCCTCTGGACGTTAAAAGTCTTTGGTTCATCGAGTTACCGTTTTCAAGTTTAATAAAGGTCACAGCGGAGAAGTGTAGTGTGGCTGTGGAGTTTGGGGCCTGCTGAAAACTGAATTTAAATCCCAGCTTTTCTGTTGAGAGAGATTTCCTAAACGAACCATCTGAGCCAACTATTTCAACAGAAGCCCATTTACAGACGGTTTTAGTCTACATTGAGAGAGAAAAACTGAGGTGGAGAAAAGAGAAACATAAAGCTTAAAGTAACATTTCCCACTCAATGCACATTATAATACTGACAAAACCGCTTTAGTGCCTGTGGTTGAGAGCACTAGTCTGATTATTTAAGCTTGTTCTCAGTCATTAAAACAAACCTCCGCTCACCTATAATGCCAATAAATAACAATAGTGACGACTAATACGATAAAATCAACTCTAAGCGATCAAAGCCACCCATCAGGTTAATACATGAACACAATGCGACACGCATCGGGGAAAGCAGCATGCAGACTCGCTGCGTCGGTATGTTGCACGGTGGAGAGGCGAGTTAGGATAGATGTGATCAGTTCCCTTTGATTCAAACTGTTAACACTGCAGAGGAGGGATTCATGTGAAGCCGGCAGACGTGTCCAAAAACATTAGAGCAGCTTTAGGTTCTGCTTTCTGCTTATTTGAAAGAACACAGGAGAGTAGGGTCAGGTGTTCCGCTTCCTTAAGAGATGAATGAATCTGTGGGATCTAAGTGTGCAGCTGATTCCTTCTGAGACAAAGCAGACGTCAGAACTACACAGAAATCGAGTTTTTCACAGCGATTATCTCCAGAATGATAGTTGGTAGAAAAATAATCGAGTTTGTCCTCTTACATTATTTTAAAAGGTATCAAAACATCCTAAAGTGATGAGGTATGGAAGCAGGCTGAGACACATTTCACGGTTTCTGCCGATGCTTTGTTCTACAATCTGCTGATTAGCATGAGCTAAGTCCTTGAATTTCATGGAACAAAGGATAAAACTGGTGCCTTCCTGTGCTGCTCTGCAGCTTTCAAACACCACCGACAGGAGAAAAAAAGTGACACAGCTGACCTTCTTTCCCAACCAGCACATTTTGGTGAAATGTTAGAGAACGTCCGAGCCGTCTGGTGGCTCGGTATGCCTTAAAAAAGGGCGGATTTAAAGATTACATAATACTGACTGAAGTATGAACCTGCAGGGAGAGGAGCTTTATGCTCTTAAAGACACTGTCTAATCCCAGTCTGCCTCCTCAGTCTGAAGTTCACAGGTTGAAGACTAGAATTGGCCCTAGCATTCAGGACAAGGTGCAGTCGTAGGTTCCCTCCTCCTCTCCCTGCTCCTCCGTTTGCTCAGGAGGAGAGTCTTCAGGAGGAGGGCGGGAAAAGACCCCAGCAGGTTCGAGCGAGGGCAGCGCCAGCCCGAGTGGTGCGGGCACCCCTCTGCTGTCCTCCACCCGGGGGGCAGCGGCTCCAGCCGGGCCCTCAGAGGCCGCCAGCTTGCAGCTTTGGGTTGCAGGTTGGAAGGCGTCGGGCTGCACCTGTTCGGATGTCGAGTTCATCAACTGCTGCAGCTGCGGCTGGATCAGGTTGAGAAATGGTTTGTATCCAAGGCTGGAGAGAGAAAAGAGGAACGTAAAAGAAAGGAAAGTTTTATACCCCGTTTCCCCCCCCATGTTAAAACAAAAGTTCTATGCATATTGATATTTTATACGACCAAAACAAATTAATGCACATATATAAAATGCAACAAAGAAATTTCTTAAGATGAAAAGTTTAGAAGTCTGCTATGGGAGCATCTTCAAATATCAATTTTTAAATAATTGGTTTAGGGTCTGGACTTTGACTCAGACACTAAAATACATAAACATCCTTCAATCTCATGTTAAGATTCTAATCCACTCAATTGTAGCTCTCTTATGTTTAAGCTCATTATCCTGCTAAAAGTAAACCAGCCAAATTAGGATGTTTTCATCTTTTGGTTAAATTATGTTCCTTTTAAAGTGAATGGATTAATTAACTATAGGTTGTGTAGGAAATATGCAAGGATCTTATTTTTATTTCAAGAGGCCAATAGAAAAATCTGATTCTTTTTCATGTTTTTATACCTCCCAGTAAAGTTAGGAATGTAATAAACCAACTTTGATCATTTATTAAATCTCTGAATATGAAAACCAACCAGTCAGAGGAAGCCCAGGCGTCAACAGCCAGTAAGCCGTTTCGGATGCTCTGTGCGGTCTCTGGTGGAACCTCAGGGCTGTCCAGGAAGCTGATCACCTGCTTGATCACGTTTGCATCCCGCAAGATTAGACCAATCACAACGCACCATTCCAAACAGCCCGCCTCCATAAACACATGGAGGAGGTATCTAAAGTAGAGAGAGGCACAGGCATTAAAATACCACTTTGGCTTTATATCAGTACACTTTTAATGTTAAAAAACAGAGAGAAAAAGAAAAATTTGGATAATTAAAGAAAAAAATGAATGAAAGGATAAATCCTCACCTGAGCTGCACCTGGGATTTGTGCGGGCCCTTGTTGGCCAGCTCCATGGAGATGTGCTCCAGCTCAGCTTGACTCAAACTTAAAGTGGATGAGTTCTCATCCACCATGGTCCAGTCGCCGTCCACCACTGAGCTGGTCTCTGTGAGGTCTGTAGCCGAGCCCACGCTGTACTCCTCCACTGGATGCAGCGTTAGTTAACAGTCAGTGATGGAGGCTATATTTTTTAAAGCAGGCTGGAGAAAGAGGATTTTTACCTTTGTTGGTGAGCAGCGACAGGAAGGCGTCGTGCGTCTGTGGTGAGTTTTGGTTGGAGTGAGCCGATGAGGCCGTCTCTGTGTCTTTGGTGCTCTGCACGAGGCTGTCCATCCAGGTGTGGTTGGTGGTAGCTGCAGAAGGCGGGGCTGTGTCCATCTCGCTGTTCAGCAGACTGTCTGCAGACTGAGACTTCAGCAGCTGCGTACTAAGCACTGTGAGGAAGAGAAAAGATCAACAGGAGCGGTGGACGCTGAACGTTAAGAGCTGACTGATCTAATGAAGGTTCATGCTCACCACTGCGGCAGCGTCCGTTCTTCAGAGGTGAGCTGAAACTTCCCACAGGAATGACGGGAAAGGGCCAGAGAAAGTCTTTGTGGAGCCTCGTCAGAGCAGAGACAAAGTCGTCGACTCGGGCCACACGGTTTCTCTCCCGGCACAGCCAGCCGATGAGTTCGAAGCCCAGCTGGGCAGAGAAGCACCCGAGGTCACGGAGACGCACCTGCTCCAGGAGGTGGCGGGCGTGGCGCCACAGCATCATGTCAATGTACATGTTCTCCGCGCACTCCACATCCCGCCTGACAGGAAGCACCACGGACAGGTATTAGCACCAGCAGATGGATGTTTGTTAAAGCCAACTGAGCTTGTGTCGTTACCCTTTGGCAGAAGCTCCGCTGGGCATGCTGAAGGTCTTCTGCAGGTTAAACTTTCCTGTCGAGATGGAGTCTGCAGACTGAGACAAACTGATGCTGCGATTTCTGAAGAACTCGAAGCCTCCCGTTGAGCTGGGTTCCTGAAGCAACATTCAGATTTGTGCATTTATTGGCATGCTGATGTTCATAGAGTTTAATGTAAGGCATTCTCCAGACACCTAAAGGTGTTAATGTATTAAAAACTAGAAATACAATGAAACCTGGTCTAATATTGATTATTACTGTATATCCTGAACTTCTCTGACTTCTCCCACCTGAGTTGATGGCGTGGGGGGCGGAGACTCCATCTCCCCTGAGCCAATGGCTTTTAGGAATCGGATCATGTGACGGCAAAGGTCCCATTTTCCTTGTTCAAGAGCCGTGTTGAAGAGGAGAGTGGCGTGCTGCCGACTCACTGCAGGAACCTCCATGTTCTAGAGGTGGTTATAGATTAAAAAAAAATATTTTAGAGATATTTAGCTTTAAGGTGATTTAGGATGTTTTTTTTTTTCTTTAGGCTAACCTGTAGGATAATCAGATAGGACGCTGCTGTGTCCAGATCCTGGGCCATCAGGCACTCCTCGAACAGATCTTTGGGGTTTCCCACGGCTGCAAACAGGTAGTTCCACAGAGCGTACTCCGTTTTCCGGGCACAGTGGACGATGGTCTGGAGGAAGAGGGGGAACTCTGTGATGAACTTGGCCACGGTGGGAAGCAGAGGGTCGGGGATGGGCTCCCGTGAGGTTGCCTCTTCTTCCAGAACTACGTGAACCATCAGCTCCAGGACATGAGGAAAGTAGGGAAGGGAGGCACAGGACTGAGCCAGCATCAAAGCCTGGGAGGTAAGGGGAAAACATTAAGTAGAGGTACTGGATTAGATCTTTCTGATAAAGCAGCCCAATAATAAGCCTGAATATAAACAAACAAACCTGTTCGCCCAGGTTGCGAACCAGCAGCTGCCTCAGGATGTGGTGGAGGTAGATCTGGGAGGTTCTTTCTACTGTGCAGTAAGGAAATAGTGCCTCTAGTGGCTCAGAGGGTCCTTGCAGCCCATCGTAGAGTATGGTCTCATTGGTGGCTCCCAGCACCAGGGCGTCCTCAAACAGCACCGCCAGAGGATAGATGTTGATATGGAAGGGCAGCATGATGCGTCTGGAGAGGAAGGAGTGAGGCTTTCGATTGTCTCTGGGGAACAGAGGTAACCAGACCTTCATTCCTGCCTCTCCGCAGGACAACCACAGGGCCTCCAGCAGGTGGCGCTTCTTCTTGTTGGAGCGACAAGTCGTCCACACGTTCTCCACACACTGAGCCAGCACCACTGGAGGACAAAATGGGAGCTGAAAGACAAAATGGAAAACTGTTATCTATGGAAAAAAAAAACCTTATAAAGAAAAAAGAAGAAGTTTGGACTCACCAGCTTTTTGTTGACGGCTGGTGTCTCTTTGTCCCGCACTTGTGGTCCAGATCGGTCCCTCTGTAGCATGATCAACTGGCCAGCCAGATTCAACATGATGCTCTCTGCTGTGCAGGCCTGATATGGAAACACAAAGATGTTAACATATCTTTGGTTACAGCTCAGTGAGAACATGTACGTATGTGTTGCTTTTACCTGCTGCGGTGCTTTTAAAGAGATGCCAGTCTCTGTGCGAACTGATGTGAGCGTGACCGAGACCACAAGAGCTGGATGGGGGATGTAGCGAGACATGGACACCTCCTGCAGCAGCGCCACGCTGACAGATGGTGTGGGACTGCAAAGAAAAGTGCACATATTTAGTCTATTTTAAAAATCAAGTAGTTTAATTATAGCCTGCAATAATGCTGGTGTACAGCAGGGATCTAAACTAGGATCTCTCTGGTTTTATTTTGTTTGCTTTTTAAGAACGCTCCTTAAACTCATGTTGATTTTACTGCTCAACATTTATGACCTGGTTTTTCTTTTAAATTCAGTCTCAAAACAATGTAAACAAATAATACAAGAAAATATTTTATTTCATTAGTCTGCCATCTCTGGTTCATTTACAAAATGCTCATGTTATCTCAAAGCTATTACATCTCTTTTTGTGTATTTTTAGTTGATAAACATTAATTATGAAAATTAAAATAAAAGATTTAATTATATTTAAATAATTATAAGCAGAAAAGAGAAAGGCTTGTAATTACTTTCTTCACCTGAAGGGGGACCCCAAAACCTCAGAACATGTTAAAGATCAGCATCTTAGCCACATGATGACAGGTTAGACTTCCTTTCTCAAAGAAAGACACAGCTATATAGCTCTAGTAGCTAAAAAAAATATTGAAATCACAGACTGCTTAGAATCTCCTGGTGTTGAAGACAGAAACACCTCTTCATTTTATAAACTGGGACAGGAAATGTTTAAATTTTTTTTAAAAGAGCACAATTAGAGGATTTATTGTTGTTTGTTTATATGGAATATCATTATGCTAAAGCTGCACAAGATACAGATCTTACAGATACAGATACAGAAGAATAAGTGCTTTTTTTTTCTTGAATTGAGCAGATAAGAAATTTCAATTGCATATAAAATTATTAAAAGGGTATAAATACCCGTTCCATTGGCCGATTATCTACTTTTCTACTCAAATTAAGGCTAAATACGCTTCTTTTAAGAAATTCTTACTCATTTTTGCAGCCTTTTATCCCTCATCAATGACTAAGGATAAGATTCACACATCCCGATTTTGCATAAAATTCAGCAGAGCAGCAGGTTTTGTCCGAACCTGTGCCCAACTATAAATACAAATGCAAAGTAGTATGAATACCCCTGAAGGCTTCCTCGACGTGTTCAAATAACCATGGAAACGGGGGGCAGTAAAGCAAAAAAAAAAATAGAGGTATTTGTCTGACGAGGCAGCATGCAGAATCTTGTTTGGCACTTATTCCTTAATTATAAGCAATACAATCAACACAGTGGCTAAAGATGGATGATGGCACTCAAACTAAATCTGATTAATAAAAACTTATACATAATTTTTGAAATATACAATTAAGTGATATGTTTTAATCAAGCAGGCTGAACATACTGACTTTTATGATGACATTAATTGGCAGATGAAGGAAAACTGAATTTATGGAACCGGTTCTGCTATGTTGCTCGTTCAGCTACTTGACTTGTAAATAAATCTTTTATTATTTATTCAATTGGGCTGATATGATTACATGAATTACTCAACCTATCAAAATCTCCCTCTGAAAATCACTAACGGTATTTTTCATTTAGGGTTTTTTGCCATTTAAGGGTGTTTTGTTAACTCATGGTTCAGTTTAATTATTCAGATTCAGTCAAAACGTCAAGCTCATAAGAACACTGGGTTAGATACAAAACTACTGAATATAGTCATATTTAAGGGTGTTTTGATGAATTGTGGTACTTGATGATGTAATAACTCCTGTATTATTTGTTTTAAAACTAAATCAAGTGAATAGGAAGGATAGTACAATAAATTTAAAAGCCTGACTGACTAAGATGAAGATAAAGAAATCAGCGTTTTAATAAAATTTGATAGTGGATATTAACAAAAGCAGGAATATAGGGCATCGTCACTGCTGAAGTTTTCTCTAATTTGATTCTGCAGGAGAGATGTTATAAAATCCTAAAGATTCATCCTCATTTTTCATCTGATCAACAGTGAGACGGAGGAGCAGTTGCTCCACTTGTTTCGTTCTATTGCTACAAATGGCCTAAATACAAGTTAAGATCCATTTTAAAACAGATAATGATAGATTTGTACTAGATTTAAACAGATGATTCTGTAAACCCTCATTTATCTACTTTAGGGGGGTAAATATTCAGGCTAATCTGACAGAAAACAAAACTTTACTCGAAATAAAATAAAACAGTTGATATCGACAAGAATCTACAGAGTTGAAGGAACCCACCCGTCATTTCTCCTCTCTATGCTGTAGAGGCAAATGGAGCAGTCGGCCCTGAACAGGATGACCATGTCTCTGAAAACGTTGAGGAGCAGCGTATCAGAGTGCAGCTTAGTGACCGAGGCGAAGGCGTTGTCCAGGTTGGATGCGCGCTGATAGAACCTCAACTAGAAGCAAACATAAGAGGCTTTTAATGAGGCAAAATACAACTGCAGCCACACGGAATGGCTGAGCACGAAATTAAGCCGTTTGTTATTATCACCTGCTCTTGCTGGTCTGTAAAATTGTAGCATGCCACCACAACAAAGTCTTTCCACCAAGCCAGGCCTCCTGTCACAGTCATGCTCTGCTCCTACACAAAAAAAACGCTCAGTTTGATGTGATCTCTCACTCTTTCAATATTGTTACCACTGTGTTCCACGTTTATGCTCCCGAATCAAATCCTTAATTTTACCTCCACAAAACCAGTTGTATCAGCATACCTGAGTGATGTTCCCAAACAGCTTCCATTTTCTCGTGAATAAGGAGTAGTGTGCAAAGCCCCGCCTCCCTGCAACAGCCATGCATTGTCCTGCTGTGTCTATGGCTGCAAACTGTGACAAATAAAAACCACAAACAGTTGGACAATAATTTTAACTTAAATGAAAAATACAGATATTTAAATTTTATCTTATTTATAAAAACCTGGAAATGTGGCAATTATTGTGCTACAGTCTAAATCTTCCAGTGAGTCTATACACCCCTTATGCTTTAAATAAAAAAATTTTCCCCTGTAAACATAATTTTTCACCCAGAGTTTGGCATCTAATTTCCTTTTATACAGTGAATATTTAAAGTAATCATTGAGGTTTCCTCAAATGCAAACCTTCAGCGCATTTATGGAAACAGAAGGTGAAATCCCAAAGCGTACATCTAACTCAACAAAGGAGCAAAAAGATGAACATCCTGAAATAATGAAAATAGACTGTAAACCTAGATGTTTTAACCCAAAATATAAAAAGCCTTTGGTCATGGCGGTGGACTGCCAATTTAATTATTTACCTTCTATAATTTCTCATTTGTTTTCCTGTTTCATATCCAACATGAAAGTGAAAAAAATGTTCTAGTTCTGGGGAACGTTTTAAATCAGCTGCGTGTGATTCTGGCAATCAGGAAATAATGGAAAAAAAGCAAATATACACCCCCTATCCATACTTACCCGAATTGGCCAGTTGCTCTCTAAGTATGTGCTGTGAATCTAAAAAAGAAACAAAAAGACAGTGAGTCAGTCATTCTCACAAAGTGAAGTTAATTATAAACTGCTGCTGATGAGGTTACAAACACACAATACATTTGGTTGTCCAGAACATACTATAAAATAATGCAACCTAGTATTTCATGTCAGTATGGAGTCTCTATATGGGTGCTGTTGGACTGTGCATGCACAGCCTTACCTGGACCACATGCCAGTGCTTGTGTCCGAGTAAAGTGCTGAGTCCCTGAGAAAGAGAGGAGTCTGGATTGGACGGGTGGTGCAACGGGCTGCCGTCTCGTGGGTGCAAGTTTGCGTGTGCGTCAGAGTTGCCGTGGATTTGTGTGGGGTCACCACAGGTCAGGTAGAGGCGGTCTTCTCCGTGGAGTAACACCTGCTCCTGGTTACTCTGTAGTCGACAAAGGAGCAAACGGTTCGTGAATGATTCATGACAGCGTGTATTTGTGGAAATGTGCTGCTGAGAGGTTTGCCATGCTCCTCTCACCGTGCAGGGGTTGACTGTGAGGGCACTCTTAATAAAATGGAACTGCAGAATCCCAGCCTGCAGACAAGGATGAGGGGGAGAAACCATCTCCACATCCTGCTCCTCATCCTCCTGTTTTCTCCTCTCCTGTCTGTTGGGGATTACCCACAGGTGGTAGCCCTCTGCTCCCCAGCTCTGTCAAACAGCACATTATTCATGTTGGTAAATGCAAAGAGCAAAAAATAAACCACAACAGGCAAAAAAACAACAAGTTTATCTTTAAGGCTTTCTGTCAGGGTGAGATACCATTCTGTGATCTTAAACTGATGACTTTGACTAAAAGCCTTTCTTCTGAGACCTGCAGAGGCGACACCTGCAGAAACACAGCTTTGCAGATCAACAGACTGAAAATACTTTTTGCCTATTCTTCTTTGAGAAATACATAAAGCTTGGTTAGACTATTTTCTTTTATCCTTGCAACCGATTCAGATGTTGATTTAAGCAGATGAATATCTGACAATTACATTTAGGTCTCATAAAAACAAAGGACTCTCTTCTACGTATCAGTTTTGGCTCCTGAATGAAATCTGGTGAACCTGCAGCATGACTTCCTATGGCTTTGCTTCAACATCCACTTTCTTATCTTTATCTGCATCACTAAATACACACCTGGAGGAGGTCCTGCACTGATAGACTCTGGATAGCCAAAAGCTGAAGGTCATGAAAACAATAAAACCCTTTAGTGAAACATCTACATGTTTGTGTTTAATATAGAGGGGAAAATAGCAAACAAAATGTTGCCTGAAAAAATAAAGTGTAACTTAGATTTTTTTCTTCAATTGTTCAGCACTAGTTTAGGGAAAGATTAGCAACAGCTGCCTGATCAGAAGAGTCATATTGATCTCTGCAGCTCCTCCAGTGTCACCCTCAAACTCTTGCTTCAAATCTTCTCTGATCAATGCTCTGCTAGGTGAAGGCAGGTTCCCAGCTCCCAGCCATTAGCTTTACATTTCAAGATAACAGATTTATCCGTCTTTTTATTTCTATTTCACACCCAAACCTGCTTGAACCTTCTTCCTCAATCTATCTGCTGTTCCCCTTAGTCTCCATGATGCTGTTCCTTCACTAATATTTCCTTAAAACACATCTGGGGTCTATGTAGTCTTTGTAAAATTGTGCAATGATCTACTCTATGTTCATTGTCTTGTTTAAACCCAGACGGGATGTGGCAGCTATAGTTTCACATACCATAGAGCTTATTTTAAGTGGATCCTTCTTGGTGCCATCAGAATGATGCCTGAGGAGAAAGTATACGAAAAAAAATATATATAAATGATAAAATATGAGAACAAAGACATTAGAAGATGTGAGAGGTCTGTCTCCATCCACTCACGCAAAGTCTTCTCCCAGAGTACAGATGAGATGAGCTCCAAAGACGCTCCACAGTGACAGGCCCCCACACTCCCACGTTACCATGACAACGCTGTAGTCAGGTGACCAGCAAATTAGCTTGACGGCGCCGGTCTTGTTATAGATGTCTGAATGGTAAAAAAAATAAAAAATTCAGGGAATGTATGAGCTGAATTACTGTTCCTACAGCGAATCTCTGATGTTATTTTTAATCCATATTCATTTATTATCTTGTTTTGTTCTGCGTTTTCGTAGAAAGCTGGAAAATAAGTTTGGGCTTTTTAAATAAATTTACTTAGCAGCCTAATTTGTGAAGACTTGCAAGAAACAGGGAAATTAAGTAATAAAAACTTAAGCAGAAGTTCAACAAAGAGTCATGAAACAACCGAGGGCTAAAGGTCAACCTAGGATTAAAGGTCTGTAATACACAAGTGAAACTGAAACACGAACACTTTTATAGAGGTAAGCTGCACTGAAAGAATATTTAGTTGTTGCTATTTGCAGGTTTAGGCCACACCTTTTTTTTTTTTTTTTTTGGGTTGTGCATAACTCATGTTTCTCCGTCTCTTCCTTTACTGCACATTGGTAAATTTCTACTCGCATAACATTTTCACAACATGCAACAAAGGACGATTTAACATCAAGCTTAGAAGGATGACTCCAAGGGCTTTTAACATCATTAATATTTTTGCTTAAAAAGAAGTTAGCCCACAAGGGGGAGCCATATCTTTACACCTCATTTGATAGGTCTGAAATACCATCATTTATAGTCATAAGAGTTTGTGCATTAAAGATTTTGAACATGAGAGATGTTTAAAAAGAAAAAGTGTCATGGAAAGTCCAAGGGTGATACCTGGATAGTGTTTAGGTGTGAGCTCCAGTTTGTGGGACAGCTGCATTGATCCCGTTGTGGTGTCGATCATGTAGACCAACACCGAACCGCTGAAGAAGAGGGAAGAATGAAAAAAATAAAAAATAACATCAGATAAAGTGTGATGAAACAAAACTATCAAAATGAGTCTGCATATAACTAGGCACGCTAGAAACACTTCTGTTCATCTCCTGGGAGCCGTTTTATTTAAAACCTTTTTCTTAAACCAGACAAAGAATCACAGGAAAATAAAACACTTGTTCAGTCAACCAATTAGATAATGACCAGACTTTAACTAGGCCACAACAAAGCCTGCTTCCTTTGGAGCTATTTAGGGATTGTGAGTCAGAACACTGTCCTGATGAATAACCTAGGTACACTTGAGCTTCGGGTCACAAACTAACAGGATGTTCATCCATCAGGGTTGGGTGAGTCGCCAATGTAGTCCCTGTGGTTTTTTACAATCCTGAAGCCTTATGGGCTTTAAACGCCTTTATTAGACTTAAAGATGTCAGTAACTTTGTGTTTAATCTGTTCTTTAACAGTTCTAGATCGGCCCAAAATATGTCACTTTGAAAATTTGAAGTCTACTTCATGTTGTTGGACAGGTTATAGTTAAAGGTTTGATTACAGTACCTTTATATAGGATCATTGTAATGAAGTAACAGGAGGGAATTGGATGGTTTTAATAATTTTTTCCGCCCTAACGAATGAAAACAAGCATTTAAAATAATGTCAGTGTGTGTTTAATAAGACTATGTTTCAGATGTTATTGCTTTAAAGATTTCTAAGGAATATTGTTCTTGTTTACAGCAGAGTACTTTTTAATCTAAGTTTGAGTTTTTTTTTAATTCTATTTAAAACAAAAAAAGATTTCTAACTTTCCACTTCATTTCAGGGGGAAATTTCTAGACATTACCAATGCAAAACATTTGCAAAGCAATAAAATGAAAACTCATAAAAAGAGATTGAGTAGGAAACAGCGAGGAGTGAAATTCCTGCCAGCCTGGGGGATTTCGTCATTCATGGGGGGACCCTCACAAGCACACACAAGGCAGCCTCGGCAAACACAACACGACAGGTTTTCACAGAACACCGCAAGGACAACAATCTCGCTGTAGCACACAAATGCAAGTAAACACACCCAGCTCTCTAACGTAAATGCAGAGACAAAGTGGGAGACAGTTGCACAGACCTGGCACAGCCAAAAGCCATCAGTCTGTACTTGTTGTTGACGGCCACACAGGTGCCATCTGCCACATCTGCTGCCCAGACTCCCTGCAGCTGCTGGACACACAGAAGAAGAAAACATTATTAATTGAAGGTGTTTAAACACATTAGCCTGCTAATATTGTTGAGGAATTCTATCCAGTACTTTGATTTTAGGTTTGTTTTGCCTTTCTTTAGATACCTAAAAAAAAAAAAAAAATCTATAAACTGCTGTTACTAATGTGTGCCCAGAAGCAGTAAAATATGCTTCAAACAATCAAAACAGTACCTGATTATGTTGTCTGAAATCCTGTGATGTGAACATGTGTCATGACTTTAGGCTTGTTTTCAGTTTTTGGGAAGCACAGATAAGTGGCACCATGTACTAAGGTCAAATATTTAATAAAAACCCACACCTAAGTTCTTAATCTTTTCATGAATGTATCCATTTACTTCTGCAATCCAAAAACTAAACAGAACACACCACATTAAACAGGAAACTCAAGTAGTGCTGTAACAAAGACAAAAATATAGCTGCATTCTAACTAAAATGGCAGGAAAAAGCATTTCAGAGAATCTAAATTTCATTTTTTTTTTGGGAGAGGATACGCCCGGACCCCCCCCTGCGCCAAAGCCTAAAGATGTGATACACCAAGGTGTACACCCTATGAAATAATCCTAGCTAAAAGCCTGAATGGAATCAACCATTAGGTATAAAGGTAACTGAAGATTTGTGTTGCATCTTTACTACTTTGTTTAACTGAAGAAGTCATATTTTAACTTGGTTATTAAGTAATAAGGTATGAGTAGAGATAACATCTTTAGGGACTTTTCCTCGTAAATTGGGTAGAGAGTTGAACCTTGTCTACAGCAGCCAGGCTAAGTTTTAATGCACATAAGAGCCATGGTGATATATTTTAGAGCTTTGCAGTTTAGGTTTGACCATACTTAACATTTGCAGCCTCAGGCACTTCAACAAACTGATTTTCTGTGGATAGAACAGTCGGTTCGCCATGGAGAGACATGAACCTGAGGGGGATTTAAGTGGTAGCTTATCAGACTGGGCTGTGGAGGCGGTTACAGAGACAAATTTACATGAAACTGGAACAGATTTTGCCTCCCCATCATGCTATTTTAAACATTGCGCTGGGATGGCACTACATTGCATAAAGGAAAATAAGCCTCTGTTTGGTGAGACAAGCGATGGACGCATAAAGAGGGGGTTGTTTTGGAAGGGTTATAAAGTGATCTTTGTGAGAGAAGGGCCCGTTTCTGTGGGAATCCTTACGTCTGCTGCGATGGAGTTGCTAAGCGGTGTGATAAAGCCCAGGCGCCCATCGCTGAGAACCACAGCAAAGCCGTCCAGGGTCAAACAGTACTCCATGCAACAAATGTAGACTCCATCCAGGTCGAGAGAGGGACCCCCTACACAGACAAATACAGCTTTATTGATTTCTGATTCTGGGAGAATACGTTTCCCTGATAAAATTGCTGTAAAATCTTAAAAATAAGCTCCAACCTCGAGCCGACTGCAGGTCTAATGAAAAGGGGATTGTAGTGAGGCAGATGGCCTTGCGGCCATTGCTGCCGAGCCCGTCCCAGTGCAGCACATGGAGATATCCGTCTGCTGTACAAACCAGTAAGTCCTCCTGGAGAGTCTGAAGACTGAGGAGAGACAGAAATGAAGAAATTGGCTTTTTACATAAAATAAATGAACAAAAGCGAACGATTCAGTAACCAGAAAAAGCAATAACATAAAAACAGTGAGCTATTCATCGGCCAGCTGTATCCTGACAGCTATACCGAGCAGCTGTGATGCCCCTCGTCTCACTGTCCTCTAAAGAAACATGGTAACAAATAAGACTGCTTGCTTTTGTAGGGCACAACATCGCTTTAAAAAGGCAGAGAGGAAATTTAACACAACTGGGAGAGAGATGAACAGAAGATGTGGGGAAACGACAAGAACTTAAGAGTACAGGCACTACAGAGCAATAGCGGAGGAGGCAAAGTTTTTTTACTGCAGCTTCACAGCAGGAGATGCCCACTCATCTCTTCACAATCAGCCTGTGCCTGTGAAATGCCAAAGCAGTGCTCTGATTTAGATGACTGCCCTGTAATCTTTGTCAAGTGGAAGAGATTAGGGAGAGGGGGAAAAAGTCACACAAAGCTGCGTGAAAAAAAAGCTTATTGTGAGCGAGCAAAAAAAAAGGAGAATATGAACACAACCCGGGAGGAACTAAGAATATTTGAATTCAATATATTTGTTTTTTGTTCATGATTTCAAAGAAACTGTAATGATGATTGAAATGACAGGAGAAAAATGTGATGTTTATCCAAAACAAGCTCCGAATCCTGCAAAAACCTTTGTTAAATAAACTATTTGGTTCATATTTTTCCTGCTAAATTAATAAAATCAATACTTTAATAACCTACAAATATTTTATCTTTGAAATCTTAAGATTGTTATAAGTTTTTTTGCAAAATATCTAAAAAAAACATTTAGTAAATGTTAGAAAATATTAAGACAGGACAAGCTATGAATAATATGTCAGCATTGCAATATCAAAAAACTGTTAGCTAACAAATGTTGGCTATTTACGGCCATTAAAAATGTGGATACCAATGTTTAGTCTAGCTTAAAGGTAATGTGGAGGAGTTTTTAAAAGACCCGCCCTCTCGTGCAACAGCATGCACAAGCCCATTTCTCCTTGTGCACACCCTGTTTAAAATGTGCTGTTGTCATAGCTCATACCAGCTTACTGTGTCCACATACAGCGGGGACTATATAGTGGACTTTATAGCAAACTCAGTTAACTGAGCGTTTGGACAGATGATCACTGCTTTTTGCTCCATTGGTCATTTAACTCCTCCTTCATAGCGCAGTGCCTGCGCCATCTTTGCTTTTAGCCACTGCTGTTGAGTACCGTCAGTCTATGGCGACAGCAGGCCGCTGTGACAGCAAATCCCATAATGCTTTGTGAGGAAGCTCTCCGTGCAAAGCATTATGGGATATATCTGCCTCTTCTGAGGCATTTTTCTTTTCATCAGGGTTTATACAGGAATGAATAACTCAAATTTAATGCTTTTTAAAATTCTTTTAATGCCCTTAGAAACAATTCTAATGCCACCAACAGGTACCTGTCGACAGGCTGAAGCAATGTCCCGAATTCTTTGTTTTCCAGCCACTTTTGTTAAAAATTAGCTTTTTACCTGCCCATTCTATAGCTTTTTCTCCAAATCAAGCTTCTTTTCTGTACATACAGCTTTCCGGAAGCAGTTCCATGCAAATATATTGTGATATAATATGTCTGACGAAATTTTTTTTATAAAGCATTTTAAATGCCACAATTAACACATTTAATGAATTTTAATGCCAATTAAGGCCTTCATTTAAAAACTAATAATTTAATGACTTTTAATGATTTTTAATGACCTGCAGAAACCCTGTCTCATACACTTCATAGACACTTTTTCTCTTATAACACTCGGCCATTTCCAAAGAACCGGGGTGAGAAAGGTGAGCTTCAGCATGACTGTCTGAAACTGTAGCACACCACACATATGCTGCTGAAAGTGTGCATGCGGAAAAAAAGATAGCTAACGGGGCTAGCACGTAGGACGGTCTTACGTAAACAGATTACAAGAATGATTGACAGTTAGGAGGACCACTTATTTAGATGATCCACCCGGAAATAAAAGATCGTCCTCTGTACCTTTAAAAGAATTACATCTGCAAATGCACTGAACATGTTTTCCCTTTGTCCTGTTCAGCATCATGGCAAGTAGACTGAATTTCTGACTGCCATAGTTGTTCTGGACAGTTTTACTTTTTCAAGGGAGCCTTTACACATATAAAGCCTCCCTTGCTACCCAACCCTTGAGGATTTATTTATTCTTAGTATACTACATACATTCTGATGCCAAATATGACTGGGGAGACATTAAAAGTAAAGGAAAACAGAGAGAGAGATAGAAAGAAGGGGTGCAGAGTGAGGGGGAACATATAACAGAAACAGCAACAGAATCCAACAACAAGCTGCTATCAAACTGCTCCTGAAGCATCTATGGGGAAACCTGCACACAGACAGCAAAAACACCTGCAGCAGAACATTTGAACAAACTTGACAGCATTAATGCGCAAATCACACACACACGCTCACTCGCATGGATCGCATATTGTCAGTTGAAAATTTGCATTTTGATTTGAATCAATTATAGTCCTGACAATATTACCCGTCAATCATGGCTGTCCTTGTCCCCCGTCATTTGTTCTTTCTTTCCGAAGACTGTCAGAGCAAAGTATTTATAAAAATCTCTATCATCTTCCACGGATAAACTGATAGAGGGGAAAAACAGCAACCGGAGGTCGACACATATATATTAGAGAGTTACATCTGTTTGGGGTGTCAGAGTTTTTTACATTTTTGCTTCAAGAACCGTCCAAGGTCAAGAAACAGCATGTCTGTAGTTACAGGCAGGCAGCAAAAAAAGGAAAAAAACGGCAGACAGAGTGATTGAAAGACAGTATCTACCTGGTGATAGGAGCCTCTAGATCCACAGGCTTCTTCAACTCCAAAGAGAGAGCGGGGGCACATTGCTCCTCTTTAAAACCAGGAGTCACCTTCACACGAGGGCTTCCTCTGAGCAAACACAAACATATAGAATCTGATTAAACCTCATGAAAACCACGGCGCACACAATCAACTTATTTTCAACCCTTGGATCTGATAGAGATGAGTGAATTTGCCTTGACTTGTCAGGATTTTCCTGGCACGTTGTCAAAGACGGCGACACAAAAACTACACAAACACTTTAAGACAGATGCCATATTCACCGTCTTCCCTCCCTATCAACATGTGTTAATCTATCTATTAAAAACATCCACCAATTAGTTTTTTTTTATGGTTGAAAATACATTTTTAAAAAGCTGAAAACTAATCCTAAAGTTAAAAGGAAATAAAATATATTCCAGCTGTTTCCTCATTCTAGAAAACTGCTTCAACATTTCTTTAAACCTGCTGTGAACGTGAGCATCACTTACTTTGGATAGACGGGCTCATAAAGATACTTGTCCTCGCCTCCACCCAACACATCGAACAAAAGGATGTAGCCATTGGCGGTCTATAAAACAGAAAAGAGCTTCATCAAAATATCATCTAAAAAAAAATAAAAATAAAAATCTAAAAAAAAAAGGCAACAAGAGATGATTCACAGGAACAAAAGGTGCAAAAAGGTAACAGCAAAGTCATTTCAGGTCTTTTATGGGACTAAAGTCAGAGATTGTGAGGTTTTCAATGCTTTTAGATTAACAGAAAAACCCCCCCCAAAAAAACAATCTGCATTCTGCACATTTTTCTAGAAATACCAAAGATAGGATAACTTCCATTATTTATTTTCAATAAATATTTTTGACAAACAGATTTCAATTAGTTTTAATCTTTAGATTTCTTGTTACCTTAACAGTCTAATTTAGCCTTTTAGTTGTAGTGAAGGGGATCATACAATGATTTCATTAGTGTTGCCTGATCCCTTAACCAATTAAAGAGGTGTCACTTCAACTGCTTTAAAAAAAAAAAAAGCCAAATCATGGCGGTCAAATTGAAGAACGGCGGCAATAGGAGCCATGAATCTGAAAGGCAGCTTTATAAGACATCTAAAGACAAACTGATAAAAACATAACAAAACGCTGCTCTGCAGTTTGGACCTGTTTGCAGATGAGTAATATGTATTTGACCACTTATGCTGATTTCAAGTTCCTCAGGACTTAAGTCATAAAAGAAAACACATTTCTGCAGATTTTTTTATAGATATAACTGTTTGGAACACAAATGTATCCACAAAATGTGTAAAAGCAAAGTTTAATTAACTCAAAAAAAGCGCTTTTGTTTTCATGCGGCTGGGTGGTGCCTTTATAGACTTCAAACCAGTCAGGATTCTCAATTTTTAAGCATTGAATAAATGGGAGTAAATGAATAAATAAATAATAAAAACATCTCAGTTGACCGGCTGATTTTATCTGTGCATTTCCTCTTTATAGAAGAAGGAAAAGTTTTTATTAATGTGACTGCTTTTAAGCAAAAAAAAAAGGTAGATTACATAAAACTTCATGCGGGTTGACATCAGCTGACCTTTAGATTTGAATATGAAATTATGAGTTTCAATGGTAAAAAAAGTAGTTTTACTCCACTTAAATATCAATCAAAGATGTAACTGATATAGGCAAACCTTGACCTGACTGGTGATCGTGAAGAACTCTCACATCCAGTCAATCATCCACACACAGGACGGCTAGAAAGACATTTTGATGCTTTTGTTTCCTCAAGGCAAATCTAAATCATCAAGATTAATACGTAAACAAAACATAAGCAGATCACGTTACCCTAACCCTTATTTGAGTAAAAAAATATATATAAACAAAGGGCTTCAAAGGAATATGTGAATGGTTAGATATAAAAAGGGTATTTTTTTAGATCGGATGTTTTTAATAAACATGGTTAAAAAAAAAAAGTGTGGCCCATCCTGAATGTGAATTTTTTTTTACACCTTGAGGCTGTAAGCTGCCTACAGCTCGTCTTAAATATCACTGTAGATTAACAACAACTGAAACATTTCAAAGAACAATTAACAGATAAATGCAGATTAAAACAATTCATTTGGTATTTATGAATGACATTTAAAAAGTAATTGGAGGAACTACATAATCATTGTGGAGAAAGACATTAGAATAAATACAGGAATGATACACGGTGCTCTGTCAAGGAAACTTCAGAACCCGAGCCTGTTGGCTGAAACGTGAAACGAAACCTGATCTGAAGTCTCCTTTCAATGATAATGTGCCCAAGCTTTACAACGTACATGGAACCCACCTCTGTTACATGTGAACAAAAAGGAGCTCAATCCAAGCAAACCCAGGGGGCATTTTCAGCTTTAGACAGCACAGATGTTTAAAACTACATCAGTATAACAGATTAAGATGCAAACTGGTGAGAAATATAATTATAGACCCCTGTAACAGATGTTAGCGACATATTCGGGTTGTACACTGTAGCTTTCACTCCTATTCATCTGAAAATTAAAAAGCGAATACTTGAGCATTTTGTAACCCACATTGTATAGGGCCCCGCTTCCTGTTACGCTCTTATTGTGGCGGGCTCCGTCTCTTTAAGAAGGCTGCCCACTTGACATGGCTGCCACAACCCACTGCTGCTCCTTGCTGTGGTTTCTGATTTGTTTGTTTTTGGACAAACTGCCTGATTTTTGAACCACTGCACATATAACTTTATTGTTGCCTTAAACATAGATTATCCTAGCCTTTTGTAACTTGATAACGACCCACAACCTGGTAGACATTCTTCAAACCGTGCCCTCCAGTCATATACTCATCTGTTGCTGCTTCAACTATTTGCAATATTCAACAGTGAATTATTTTTCTCCTGTTGTTATTTTCATTTGATTTCTGTCTATTTTGAAGAAAACATTTATTACACAAACCTAAATCATTTGTTTGTCTTTTTGTTCATTGGCCAAACCTCCTTCTAATGTTCTGGTTATCATCATTCTGCCGTCAAAGCTAAATATCATTACATATTTCATACCAAAAGGCTGGATTAGATTCCTAACCGAGTTGTTAGGAAAATTATTTAAGTGCAGAACAGTTTCTACAGCTAAGATCCTCATATTTTTAAATCTCTATAGAAGAGACTTCATTTATCCTTGGTAGATGGAGTAAAAACAAAAAAAAAAGTGGCTGACAGAAGATAAAGGAGGAGGACTGAACTGTGTGATCATACATGCGGAGATAATAGTGCAGGGAAAGGCAGAACCCCAACTAGAGCCCCACAAAATATGTAGGCATAAAGGCTCAAAGGCAATCAGTCCAGCGTAGGGGACACTTTTTTTTTTTTTCTTGGCCGGCCTTTGTTTTTCGGGTTGGGCGTTAGTTTTTTGAGGCAGGAAAAAAAAAAGAAAATAAAAAGAGCCGTACCTTTTAGATCAAAATTTAATCTGACAGCAGATGACTAGAAACTCATACAAAAACTGTTGATTAATGTTTTAAAAACGCTTCAAAAGTGAACATTTGATTCCAAATTTTCATAATATTTCATATTTTTAACTTTACACATCTGAAATAAACATCAAAGCCTTTCCCTCATACCACTGCGACAAAATGAAAGGAAAAAAAGATGACTTTAGGGAAGTGAAGTGCAAGACCTTGGAAGCTCTTTCAGAGAAAAAGAGAAGTCAGCAGAAGACTTTACGCTGTGCATAATCTTATTGAAGCTTCTCATATGCATGTCTGAACCCGTCCCAGAGGCGCAGCAACACAGAAGCCTGCAGACAGTTGCTACTCCTTTTAGAACTGGAATAACTTTAGACAAAGCAGCCAGATTCCTTCAGATGCAACATCATTCAAAATAATGCAAACTTCCTGCAAGAAGAACTCAAATGACTTCTGCTGATAAACAGAAGCCACAAGCATAAGGTGCATCAAGCGTAAACAGCTTAAAAAGTGGAGCGGGAAGTGTTTTGAAAGCACACAGCTGTCAGGTGTGCTTCCCAAGAAGTCTAAACACATTCCTCCATCAATGTTAAAGTGCGCAGCCAGATTACTCTGAATGCAGCTACTGAAAAGAGCAACTGTACACTGAAAAAAGTAATGCAATTTTTGTGCCATTTACTTAATTATATTTAGTTACTTTAACACAATTGTTTCATGGTAACAGGGTAGGACATAAAACAATTGTGTTAAAGTAACTAAATATGATTAAGTAAATGCCAAAAGCGGTTGCATTATCTTTTTCAGTGTATTTATGGCTAAGCTATTGTGCTACATCATGCACATTTGAGCAGCAGATCAAAACCCATAAGGCTGTTTCAGTTTAAATGAAAAAACAAAACAAACACTAAGGCAGCAAAAAGATACTGGCTTATATAAATCAGCCTAGTATTTCTAAATCTACTGGTTGTCAGACTTTTGCTGAATGGAAAGTTTGTATTTGACTTAAAACTGCTTCCTTGTTACTTTAATTATGCAATGTATGTGTGAACACACCATACATGTATGGAAAAAAAGCCTGCAAGAAATCCTGGCAGGTTATAGTTTCCTGAGTGAAGCAGTGTGAGAGTCTAAAAAAAGAGAGGGAACATTTTGGCCTCGGACTGATCCCAAAAAAGACAGAAGAAAAGCTCAGCGGCGAGAAGCATTTCCCTCGTCTCAAGACTTTCCTTTTTTTATTTTAAGTTCCTCCAGTTATTTTCCTTAAATCTTTAGCATCATACAGACTTCTTGGCTATCAATAGATCCTGGTCATATCGTTAGAAGGCGATTACGTTAGCCTGGAGGTCTGCAGGGTTTGTGAGCAGCCTAAACATCTGGGAAACAGCTTGTTTTTAAGAGCGATCCCGGCTGTCTGGGTGAGCCCCAGTCTGCTCTCTCTGTAATTAAAACAACATAAACCTTGATGTGAGAAGTTACAGATTTTTGAGAACAATGAACACATTTTTGTTACAAAACATCACTGTACACGTGAACTGATTCAGACTCCAAACAGAAGAAATAACTCTGATGTTATGTTATTTAAAAGGGACAAAAATGGCGTCTTTTAAGCAGATAATAAAAATAAATGTATTAAACTTCTAATAAACAAGCAAAAAAAAATGTCTGAAAGCCTAAAAGCTAAAGGGTGGTAGCTTTCGATGTAGAAAAATACATTTCTAAAGCTGCTTTCATAAGTAGTGAAAAAAGAGAGGTTATATCTAAAACAATAATATGACTCTTGTGAATAATCTGAGCTCATTGCTCAGAAAAACATTAAAATAGCTAAGATGAGTTTTCAAACAATTGCGTTGCTCCTAAACCTCTGAACTTTACATAGACATGGATTAATAGACAAAAACACAGAAATAAAAATGTTGAACTTCCAATTTGTTTTTATTGCAATAAATTGGAGAGTCCTGCTGCAATGTTTTCATTGCTGATACGATACTGATATGGCAGCTTTGAGAATCGGCCGACAAAAATATTCCCTCCATACAATATTAGCAGAAATCATACTGGCTTTTATCATTTGAAAAGGCTTGATCATTTAATATTACTTAACAACAACAATAAAAGGAATAAAAACAGGTGACCCATGTAAAATGAACCAATAAGCAACAGAAACTGAACAGAAGCTGATTGTTTCAATCAGCATGAAATATCTGAGATTTTAGATGCTGGCTGATAAAATCCAATATTAGTTTTTAGGCTAACATCAGACCGATATCCGATATTAATGTCGGATTGAGGAATCCGTTGCAATAAATAAGATAAATTACAGTAATAAACTCATAAATCTACAGAATAATCCAATTATTACAAAACAGGTTGACTATTGATTCAAGTAATCAATACAAACACTTCCTGTGTGTCTATAAACCCTGTAAAAGTAAACATAACTAAAATTGAGGAGTCAAGCTGCTAAGAAGTACATTATTAGTTAAGAATAAATAACTACGCAGCATTAAAAATGCTCAACATACAAAAGTATGAAAACTAATCATGCAAATAAAATGCATTAAACATATGAATGTGAACAAAACATACATTATGAAACTCAGCTTTAAGGAAACCAAAGTAACCGATGCAATAAACAAAAGTGAATAAAATGTCCCTCAAATTAGATTAAAAGTTTATTCTAGAAGCTCAATAAAGGATCAAATATATTTTTCAATGTTTTTTTCTTCACAACTAAAAATAAACTCAGTTTCATAATTTTCAATATAACCTGCCTACGCTGGTGAAGCAAAAAAGGACTATGTAATAATTCATAAGGGATGTTGCTGAGCTCAGTATGAGCAATATTGCAAACTAAAGACAAACTGAAGATCTTCAACTCTCAGCAGCTTTAAGTCTGAATCAGTATCTGAAGAGCAAAGCAAACAAAAAAACTGGCTTATTGTAGTTTGTTATGTGCCCCGGTAAACCAATCACATCCCTTGGTTCGACACTCCATAATAGAGTCTGCTTGGAACACTGGTTTAAAGAAGTGAAAACATGCTAAATTTAGCTCAGAGAGAAGAACTGAGAAAAATTAGAAAAGGAAATTACTTAAATGTTTCTTTGAAATATATTTAACTTGTTAACTGTAGTATTTTTGTTTAAAGTCAGGAATATCTCAGGTTTAAAATGTTGTTTTAAAATGAAAAAAACTGAAACACTAAAGATTTAAGGTAAATTTTTGTTTCAATAACTTCCAACAGACTAATTTTAGTTTATTATGGGCTGATCATAACTGTTTAACCATTTAAAGGTGACAAACAGTCAAAAACAAACAGTCTGTTAAGGCCAGGATGTAAGTGGAGGTTAAAGCCTGATATTTTTAACTTCTGGACCAATTCCCTGCTGCGTTAAGGCCAGGAGAGAATGGAGCAGAGTCTGGGCGACTTCATTTGGAGATCACAATGGGAGGTTAAAACAAAAGCAAACAAAAGGAAACAAGGATCCTCTATGTTCCTCTATTTAATCCAATTCGATGTCTTTGTTAAACTGAAACAATTTGTTTTAGCATAATTTTCTGTCTTTCTAAAATTTGAATGGCTAGTAAATGTGAATAGTTGAAACTCAAAACATAGTTGATCTTGTGCGCTCCAGCATGACTTCATTCTGTTTCTTTGTACCTTTTAAAACCTGATGGACGAACCGGCATGAGGGACGTTAGGTTCTGTTTTGGGACAAACAATGCTCCAACCACACCTTTTTTTCCCTTGAATGTGGAAAAATAAATAAACCACATCATATATTACATGGTTCCCAAAGTGTTCTATGACTATTCTTTTCTCAAAAAGCACCGACGTTAATGAAATTACCTAAGTACTTGGATCTAAGTGAAACTGAAAGCATTTGACTGATGATCCACAACGCAACAGCTTTGTTTGTAGAAGAGATACTGTTTCACTTTAAGGAGACTCAATCAAAGCCAGAAAGTGCAGAGATAGGCAGAGGGCAAAGTATGAAGACAAGGCAAATAGAAGTGTGAGCAAAGCAATCAAACCTAATATGAGATTGTCATTTTGGGTAGACATTGATTCATTGATAGTTTATGGCTGTTACAAGGTCGTTTTCACATTCTACTGCTTCCACCTTATTGAAATCAAAAGAAAAAGGGGGAATCCTTTAAAAACCCTTGTTTGTTGCTGATACTGTAAATGTCACCGTTGATCCTAAAGCTGAAAGTCACAGAGTAAACAGTCAGAGTGGTCATGAGGTTACTGAGCAGAAACTAAAAACACAGCAGGTCAGTAGAGACAAGAGATTAACAGCATTGATCGAGCCACATGACGCCTGCCTTCGTCTTAAAGAGTCCTTGGTGTTTTGGCACATTTCAAAGGCAGCTAGTTGTGCTGCCATTTGTATTAAATGAGGCTCAAAGGAGCAAGTTCATGTTAGGATTTTTCTCCAACATAACTGTTTTTGAGTGGAGTTTTAGCTGTTTACTAACAACCACAAACTCAACGTCTGGCAAGAATGTTGACAGCCCTCATTATTCAACATCCTCCGACTGTGAAGGAAAATCCCCCCCAAAAAAACAATTTATAGTACGCTTATGAGCAAATTACAAACATAATCTAAAAAGAGCTTATCAGGGAAGCTAAATAGGAGAAAGGATGACTTCCCATAGTGTTGTACTTACCGCCACAGCTATCATGGAGTCGTCTGGTTTCCATTCTGCTTTCTGGTAAAAGCCAAACTGGGCCGCTGCCTTCGCAGACTCAATGTAGCTGACTATCAGGACACTGGGCTGTGTGGGAAGAAAAGGGACATGGAAAAGAATTTGGTCATCAAAACGCCTGATGATGTAAAACATTTCAGCCTTCATTCAAACTTAAATAATGACTGAAATATCTAAACAGATCAAACAGCTCAGTTTAAACCCCAGCGCAGAGTGATCGTGTTCAATCATCATTTCCTAAAAAATACAAAGTGAAATGCATTTGATAGCGTGATTCAAAATAAGAAATCAAACACCAGAAATGATGCATAAAGCATGAAAACCAAAACATAACCATCATCCACAACTGGGGTGTTAAAATGAGAACCTTGGTGAACTTAAATAAAAAAAAAAAACAATACTTAGATTGAGATTATTTTAATAAAAACTACATATAAAGATTACCTTAAAATAAAAATTTAAAGCAACTAAATGCTAGAATAATTAGGATTGTACACGATCAAAGTGGATATAGGAATGTCCTACTGTCTAAAGAGTTTCTTAGAAGATCCTGGATTGCAGCCAACCGGCTGTTGCTTTCAATACGCAGCACATCCTTATCTAACCATCTTATTGCAAGTTGCAAGATGTTGTGATTCTCAGCAGTACCGCTATGAGTGTCACATCAGGACTAAGATATTTGATCCCAATCTTTCCAAGTAAGCATGAAAGGTTTCTGTGCCTCCACTGCGAGTTTAAACTTTACTGAGGGAGGAAACACCTTCAGGAATGTCACCTTGTTAACAACAGTATGAGAGGATTTCCCATAAGGCTGCAGTGAGCCAAAGTATGGCGCTTTTTTCTTAAATTGACCCTAAGCCCCATGTCACAAAAGTTGAATTGAAAAATCACAAGGATAAGAGATAAATTCTGACTCAAGCTAGAGTCTGGCTTCATGCTTTAAAGCCAAAGACATGTGTCTGATGGTGAGGTAAATACTTTTCTAAGACTTTCAGTATCTCCTACTGCATACAAGAACATGCCACTAAGGGAAAGTCTAACATAGATCATCTGGGTAATTATAAAGGCATAGCTCTATTCTATGCTGTGCTTTATTTTCGGACCCAATAGACTGTACAGGTGGTGGACGTCATCCTTTAGAAAATCTGTAACGGTCCTGCAGGTAATAATAAGGAAATATTCACATGTGGGCATTTCTCTAATCCCCTCAACACATGAACTAGTTTATTAAGACGTTCTGTCAAATTTAGAACAACTGAAGGTAAAAATAGTATTGGCCAAACAATAATGTTAAAATAATTAAACTACTATAGACTATATACCAATAGGGGTTTAAATGGTGGGTGATAAAAAATACCACAACATGCAGATGGTGTGCTGACAAACTAACTGCTTTGATGCATTCAGCATTTTTAACATTTTAGAATAGAATTAAACTTTATTGTCATTACATTGTCACAAATAAAATGCAACGAAATTCCCTCTCTCCTTTTCACCCATCGCTTTGTGGAGTAGTAGGCTGCCATTGTGCAGTGCCCGGGGAGCAGTGTGGGGGTTAAGGGTCTTGCTCAGGGACCCAGAGTGGCAGTACGTGGGAGTGGGGCTTGAAGCGCAATGCCAAACCACTAGGCCACCACTCCCCAGGGGATAAGGGGATTTACAAGAATGCAAATTGGGTTGGTAAGATTCTCTGGCTGACGGTAGAGCCACAGCAGATGGATGTAATGTGTCTTAATGTTTGCAGCCACCAGGCAATGATCTAAAGAAGAAGAATGAGGAATTGGTTTCTGATCATTGTCACCACTGATTGAGTAGAAAGGGCACCCTGGATTGAGTAAACCTGGCTGTTAGCCTGGTCTGGAGCAAGCTAGCTGTACAGAATAAATCTCCATGGTAACTGATGAGTTGCTGCTTTCGTGAAACTTAGATATGGCTTAATTAAAACTTAATCCCTTATCTTGGTTTGGTTAAATAACGGTCCTGGCACAAGATTAAGTTTTTATTGACAACCCTGAACTGAACACACAAAGCCTCTAAAGCTCCAAGGTCTCTAAATCAGTGAGGTTGGTGCTTTTCAGATACTCGATTAACTACTTCTCACCGATAACCGATGCATTATGGGTTTGTACTGGAGCTTTAAAAAATTCCCAAACCACCTCTGAGTGGTGGCCTAGTGGTTAGGGCATAGGGCTTGGAATCCTGAGGTTGCGAGTTCAAAACCCACTCCCACAGACGCTTAACCCCTGATTGCTACTCGCGCGCTGCACAGTAGCAGCCCACTGCTCTCTAAAGCGGATGGGTTAAATGCAGATAGTTAATTTCTTCATTGCTAGACCAATAAAGTTCAATTTATTTATATTTTTTTTAATCACCATTTACCTGAGTTTGTACAGTCTGGGGGTGTGAAATCGTCCATGTTTATCAGACCAGAGCACATCTTATGGTTCAGCTGTTGTTTTTACAGGGTTATTTTAAGGAGAGTGGATTGATTGGCATGGCGAGACACCGGTGCCAAAAGCTACAGAGGTTTAGGCTTCCAAGAGCAACTTTAACCTGGTTCACCTAAGGAGGCAGCACCTTTGGAAAGAAGCGTGTGGCCACTACACTTTCAAACAAGGCCGACTATGGAAGGACTACAATTGAGGCTATCAGGCTCTTCCAGACAGCCACTTGGTCGAAGATACAGGTGGCAACAGAATAATGAGCAATCACAGTCTCACCATACAGGTTTCATGCAAAAAAACAAATAACAAAAGTTAGCCCCTAAAAGCTTCTAAGTTGTTTGTCAGCAGAAAAACAATCTCTCAGACCCTGCAGTGGCTGTACATATTGGAGCTGACATTCAGCCTTTGTCTGTTGAATAAAGGGGCCTAACCCAAAAGAAAAAGAACGCCTGTCACCTTACACATACATAATTATAAAGGAAAGACTTTACTACTGTTTAAGTATTATGAATCACTTCTTTATCAGGAAAACAAATTCAAAAGACTGCTGGTGAACAGAATAAATTAAATATATTTCCCTGCTCTCAATACATGTGATAATAATCCACCTCTCCTTGGTGATTTTTTGAATATTTCTCTCTGATTATTTTGCAACTTGCAGACGGAGCATTTTTGGAGCAGTGAGCTCCCCATAGGGCCCAATGTAATTCTCCCAGTGCGATAGGAGAGTCGTTTTGAGGAAACTACGGTTGTAGCTCACTGTCTGCCTTGCTCCGGTGTCTGTTTTATAGAATAAATAATCCGCTGACGAATTATTAATCCGGAAAAGCTGAATCTGTGCATATATTGTCAACTTTACTGCAGTTTCACGATGCTGTCTGCAGCAGAGAGGAAAGATCGCTTGAGTTATATTTCCCCCCAAATAAATAATGGTCATTACTGCATAAATATTGTTGCTTTCTACAGCGTTCCAGCTGATGCAGCTATTTTCATTGTACAGATCAGTTATCGTCTCATCGCTGCGCACGAAATCATTGCGATGTTGGCGACACTGATGATGCAGACTAGTTATATTTAATCACAAATACGATTCCCCCCCCCGCGAAACTGAAGGGGGTGGAATGGTTCTCCAGCCACAGTGCTAATGGGGCATTTACATCTGAAAAGGGATTCATAAGTTGATATGTACTGCGGAGGGATTGGAGGCTGAAAATTCTCATATCTGTGGGATTTGCAGTGTTAAAAGTAAGTTTTTCTTCTCCACTGTCGCCATATGAATGCTCAATATGAGGGATTGCTGTAGAGTCTCCGACAATACATGAGAATATCTACTCTTGCTCATGCTCATCCAGGAGGAGCCTTTGAACTAATCTTACTGTATGATCTGAAGGAATTATACTAGTAAAGAGTCTTCAGATAACAAGTATTGTGAATTGGCAACATATAAATAAACTGAATTGAACAAAAGTAAGGCACTGACTTTCTCAGTCTAGGCCTTTAGGGAGCAGTAATGCACTATAAGTAGGTTTGCAGAGCATGAGAGTAAAAGTGGGCCTGTTGCAACACATTGAGCAAAAAAAATCCTGCATTAATGGACAGTGGACAAGTAAGCTTTCAAGATGAAGGAATCACTGAAACCATGGAGTAATACACTAACATGCTTGCTTTTTTTTTTTTTTTTTTTTACACAAATTGTTCAGCCCTACTTTATATCAATGTAAAGTAACGGTAAACAAAATCCAACAATATTTTTCTATTATATACTATTGTTTGTTATTTTTCTATTCTATATATAACCTTAAATTATCTCACTTATTTTTCATAGCTTGAAACATACCTTAATCACAAATTTTTCAAATTAGCTTAAAGAAGACCTTGTACTACAAAAAACAAACAAAAAGGGAACACTACATTCGTTAGGTAACGATGCAGGACGACAACTACGGTAATTTTAGATGCAGATACTAAGCCACTGTAATTAGAAGAGGTTTGAGCACTTTTTTCCATACAGTGTTTGTTTCATATAATTAAAAATTTAATAATGGCACTGAGAGGAAAACAGAAACCTCCAGCTTCCTTTGAGCTCCTGAAGTACAGCCTGCAGCACTGTCCAGCACTGAAGCATTAATGCAATGCAACAAACACTGCTCAACTTCTAATGCTTTGTTCGAAAATTAATATAACTAAGTTATAAGTTAATTGATTTTTGTTATATTATTTCTTTTTAAAACCTTCACAAAGAAAGTAGGGACTACATTTCAAACATGATGCTCTGTTTTCCTAGCATTTTGAATTCACATGAACCCTTGCAGCATCACAGAAGTCGTCTCAGAGCAACACAGAAGCAGGCTAGAACTATTCTCTACTATACAGATGACCGACTGCGCTTGAACTGACCTGTGGATTGCAGACGGCAACTGAACCAAAATAAAGTCAAAAACATTAAAAAAAGAAAAAAAAAATCAAAGCACATGTTTCTGAATCCATCTATGTTTAAAAATCTGGATGGACACATTTTGTAAGCATGAATGGCAGCATGCTATGCTCTACATCCTGTGTGTGCCTCAGAACATTAACAATGACCCTCATCCATTGTTACTGCATCTTAATATACAAACGGACTGGAAAACAGGCTGTTGAGAACAATGCAGCATTTAGGTCAATTAACTACCAATAAATAAACATCAATGTTGCTCAAAGCATCAAATCTAAATTTAACCTATAGAGTTTGAATCTGTGACATTATGAAAAAGATGAATAAAGATCCACAAATTACTTCATGATCTCATTTTAATCACATAGCCAGTTTATCTGGGAAAAATAAAATATATTTGTTTTAACAGAGTAAAATCACTTCAGATGCAAAATGCCTTGTGATCAACTTCTATTATGTTCTCCAGTAAATCAGAGAGAACCAAGAGGAAGTTTTACTAGAGCTGGAATTACTGAGGCATAAACCTGCAGCCCCCTGTCCAACAACATGTTTATGGTGGGAGGGTGTCTATTACAAGTCTCTGCTAATCTAGAGTTGAGGCTGAGAAAATAAATCTGATTGATCTCAGCCCTCTGAAAAGCTTCAATAACTGAATTTAGAATGAGAACAGATGCCAAACGGACATTTGCATCAAATAATCCTTAGTACAAGGATATAAAGTATTTATTGAACACAACCATTTTTTTTCCCACCTGACTTGCATGTTTTGGGGTTTGTTTGTTGTTGTTTTGTTTTTTTGTTTGTTTTTGCTTTGCTTTTTTAATTCAAAAGGTACAACTTTTCTTTTACAATCTAGAAGCAATTGAACTGGATCTGTAAAGCATTATACAGCTGTATTAAGAAGTCTATTAACAGAAAAACCAACATAGGAGGAACTTCCCTGCATAAACAGCCTTGTTTGCTTCATCCTACCCAAATAACCCCAGCTATTACTAGCAAAAAAAATGTCTAATATATTTCAGTACCAAATGATTTTTTAAACAATGAATGAATTGGACACAAAGCAGGGGCAGAGCTAGATGGGGGGCCTAGGGTGGCCCCTGTGGCTACCCCTACCATGTTTTCCCTCTAATACAGATGGTGGTAGCAGTAATACACTCAAGTGGAATATTCAAAACAATTAAATCTTTTGTGGTTAATTTTGCACATCAATATACTAACATCAAAGATGATAAGTACAGAACTTATCAAATAATCAATTTATGTAAACATTAGTACTTGTAAATATCAATTTTATGCAGAATGTTTATTGAAACAAGTAGGTAAGTAAATGGAAAAGATTTATGCCCCAGATGTCAAAACTGAGTTTTATGAACTATACCATTTATCTAGAAAGCACAGATGTTTAAATATATGCGTCGATTTGTTAGTAAAGGGTGTAGGAAAGTATAGTATGTCTTTATTTAAAAAAATATGGATGTTTTGCTCGTTCATTTTACTGTTGGACCAGTGTAGATTAAACCTGAGGTCCTGGTGCCTATCCGCTTTTGGCCAACCCTCAGTGCACATTTCTTAAAAAATTTCTGGCTACGCCTCTGACACAAAGGCACTACATATTTGGGTAGAAAACTATTACATATTCTGGGCGGATGTTAGTATTTATGGGCTTCAGTTTGAAGAAGTCTAACTATTAAATGACATTTTGTGACAGTTGGTTGAGAGATAAGGCATTATTGACATATTTTTTCACGGGTTTAAGGATATACAGCAGTCAGAAATGACGCAAACCAACGTCATCTGTCATCTTAATGGTTGCACAGGTGGAACCTTATGCCAACACATCACTAAAAGCCTTTGAACCCAACCCTCACTTCCCTTATTTTCAACTAAACAATACAGAAAAAAACCCAGTTTCAATAAAGTGAAGGTGTAGGATGATTATGGAAGTGAAAGCAGCACTGCTGGCATTGTTATTGTTGTTATCTGGTCAGCTGAGTTCCAGAACAGGACAGTTTGACTTAACTTACCCGAGAGAACCAGATGCTGAGCTGCGTCTCTGACAGCAAAGCGAAGTAAAACCTCTGGCAGCTGGGCTGGATATGAAAGGGCTCCTCGGCACTCTTCAGCGGACAAAGCAGCCTCCGGGGCCAGCCGGTTAAAAAATACATGACGCCTGAAAGTCCCCCAACACTCCGGAGATCCTCCTTTAATAGTTTTTAATCCAGGTGACTCATTAGTTGCCGTTTTGTTGGGTCCAAGAAACTTTGACGGGTCCGAGCTTCTTCTTTTTTTAAAGGGCTATCGGTAAGCAGATGCCATAAAGACAGATTCAAGCAGCCACAGTGAAGCTACGCGGCTAACTTGAAGCTAATGAGCGGTCCAAGGGAACCCTGAGTTCTGGAAAACAAAAGCAAACAGAGCAAACTGAGCTGCGAGCATTAAACGGGTCGACTAACTTTCGCTCCCGATGCCGTATCAGTTCTTTCTTTGCTCGGACCAGAAGTGTTGGTTCACGGCTACGCGTCCAGTGTTCACTTCTCCGTGCCTTACCGTCGCCATTTTTACAAGCGTCTATCCGACTTAACGCTGATTGGGCGAGAGAGACAAGCTTGCGTGGTGTTGACATGTGACGTCAGCTCCGTGTTATGTGAAAAATGCAGCGATAGACACAACGGCTCGTGGGTGACACCTGGTGGCAAAAATAAGCACCTGCAGGAAAAATTAAATTTTCTTAAAAATAATACAAGGAAACAAAGATTGTTACTTAGCTGCTTGTTACCTTTGATGTTACTTTCATTATAAGCATGAATTTAAAAAAAAAATAGGCAACAATTAAAGTAACACATCATGTTGGATCCCTAACAACTCAACTTTAAACTGAATAATTCAGAAGTTGTTACAAAACTTTTCAAAACTTGTTCGTCAAATGGTTTACTAATGCCAGTTTATTAATTATTGTGTGTTTCGTCATCGGCCAAATATCGTCTACAAGAAGTGACAGGGTGGTCATTTTTTGAGGAGGCTGCAGTAATTCAGAGTTATAACAAGATGCTGCATATCTTCTTTAGGTCTGTTGTTTATCCCCAAGGATGTAATGGTTGCAATACTCAGTATTTTTCTAGTTGGGCTCCAAGGACAAGCCAAATGATATCTCTTAAATGTTCTTCTTACAGCGGCCCTGAAATGCATCACAATTAAGTGGAAGCAGTTTGGTCCCTACAACTCATGGGGCCAAATTGTAAGGGAATTATACCAAATGGAAAAGGTAACATACTCGTTAAGACTCTAAAAATACATTTTCAGCCAAAGCTGGGGTCCTGTGGAAGATTTACTCAAGTAAACAATTCTCCCAACTCAATTTTTATTTTATTTTTTTTCTAGATTATGTTACATAGACCTGCTATCCGATGAGAATTATTGTGCTAGGTTTGTATGGTGAGGCTGGGACCATAATTATGATGCTGAAACTGTAAAATGTCATGCTGGGACGCTTAATCTATGGTAAAATTTCACACTGTAAAAAAGCTGTTAACTGTCATTGTATGTTGTGTATTTGCTCTCTTTTAAAATCAATAAAATGTAAGTTCTAATAAAAAAGATATTTATTCTGCCATATTTTCCTTGGACAGTAACGCCAGAGCAAATGAGTTAGAGAATCCTAACAATATATTAAACTATTATGGACAAACCAGATCATCCTCTTTAGAAGACTGTTGAACAGTGGATCGTGTCATATTGTGTCTTCAGTGAAAGGTTTCCTGGTGCCACTGTAACACAGACCACCACAGGATATCCTTCCTGCCAACAGATATTAACATTTACAACAACTTGTTGAAAAGACCTGCTGAAAGTTACAACAACATTTAATTCCCACTTCTGATGTATAAAATGTATACATTTCTTTTGAATTAAACAGCTACGTAGATGACACACAGTTCTAGATTATAATGTCCCCAAATAACTATGAATAGTTTGAGCATTTAGTAGATGCACAAAAAAAATAAATGCTTTGATTTACCATAATTTTCACCAAATTCAATAAAAAATAATAACTAGGGTAACAACTCAAAGGACGAGCAATCAGGAGTCAGAACAGCTATTTGCCTAAAGAGCTGACAGAACTTGTGATGAGAGGTCAGAATCCTATCAAGAGGAAGGTCTCACCAGATCTTAATTAATGAACATCCTCCTTTTGTATTACTATGCATCTTTTTTCTTTATTTGATCACCCGGTTAGATATGATTGTGTTGATGTCAGGCTTTAAATATGTCTGGTAATTTTTGCCGGCCTCTGAAGACATGATTTAACATGAATGTGACATTGTTTGGCGGCTTCCTTTTTTATTTTTATTTTTATTTTCTTTCTTTCTTTTTTTAAGTTGTTTGTTTGTTCCTGCTCTGCAGCCCATACTTACATAAGATGATAGGCAACACATTGTACAATTTTCCTTTTTTTTTCTTTTTGTGAAAACACAAAAATGTTTAAAATAAAGAGTCAGCACAGAGCTTCAGCTGTTACATCTAGAAACAACCGGTCAGGGTCAAAATGGTTGTTTATTGATGTATTCAGACCATAATATTGTTACGAATCAAATATACTGTTACTAATACAGCATGGAAATACATGTGAGCATCCCTCTCCAGGCAGAAAAAACATCCACACAACATACAAATACTTGTTTCAATGTTTACTGAAGCTTAAAGTATTAAAACCGAAAAACATAAAAAGACCGTACCATTCCCTACCTGCAGGGGGCGGTGTTACGATACCCTTCAATAGAGTACTCTGAGAGGGCAGGAGAAGAAGCTTTGTTGCCTAGCATGGTTTGTTCATAGCAGTAGCTAAAAGAAGCGTTTTAAAGCGGGTCCCTAAATTATTATTAATACCAAGGGTTGGGAGAGAGATAATCTCATAGTCTTTTGGTCTACTTCGGCAAAAACGCCCAGTTAAAGCTCAGAAAAAAGAAAATTGTGAACTGAATCAAGAAGGAGGGAAGTGTGAAGCATGGCTGTAGACATGAGATTACCAACTATTAAAACATCAATGTCTCTGTCAGTTCCTGCTGCTGGCCGAAAGGATCTGGTTGTCCCCGGAGATGTTATCACTTCAGACACCGGCTTTATGAGGTAGGTAAGATGGTAACATGTTCAGCTGGGGGGGGTAAATATGTATTTAGCAAACTTTTCAGAATAATCTGTCAAAGAACACGACGACCACACACAGGTACATCTGTAAAAAGGAATAAATTAAATATTTGTAGATGATACTTTCAACAAAAAAGTCATTTCTTCTTATTTCCATGCTCTCAATTCTTGTTTTGGCCTCATAATGCATGAATTAAGACCTTATAATGTGACCTGGTGTCAGCCTGTGGGTGTGCTGAGGTGGAAGCTTTGCTTTCATCTCATTTGCATGTTTGTGTCTTGTCTTTATCTTGTCTTTGTCCTCTGGATTCTCTATGGGCTTCATGGTAGGAGAGTTTGGTTCCTCTCTTGGTTCCTTTGCTATTGGGAGCAGGTCTTCATTTAAAAATGGGATCAGAATCTTTATGAACTTAACTACAACTCTAAAACTAAAACTTAAACTCTAAGCTAAAACTCTAAAACTTAAACTTAAACTCTACAGAAGGAATCTTGAAGTGAATTAAAATGTGATTGTAGATGGCTGACTTCAGAAAAACACAGTCTGCCCTCACCAGCAGATGACATGGCACCCCAAACCATCACTGACTGTGGAAACCTCCATCTGGACTTGAAGATGCATGGATTGTGTTCTCTACACACTCTTGGGACTTAAATTTTAAACAAAATGCAAACGTTAACTTTTATCTGAAAGACCAGTGATGAGGAGTCCAGTTATGTTCCTCTTTAGCCCAGGTAAGCCTACTGGAATCTAATCTTTGATTAAGAAAGAATTTGTTTGTGCATATCGGCTCTTGATACGCCGACTCCAGCCTTGATTCCCTCCCAAAGTATCCTAATGATTTTTGCTGAAGAGTCCTGTCGAGATGGTGTGTTTTTGTCCTATTGGAGGATGTCTGAAAGTTTTCTGGAAATCTGTCCAATCTGGAGTCTTTCCCATGATTCTGTTGGCAGTTTGAGTGAGAGACCATTTAGTCGCTCTGGAAACCTTTCCTGATCTTTTAGGATAATTGTCTGATTTGGGTGGGACACCATCCATTCCAATGTTTACATTTTTTTCACAATATTCAAATTGACATTGACTTTTAGATCTGTAAACGATAAATATTTAATCAAGTCCAGGTTCCAAATGCTGTCATTAAGAAGATGTTGCAGATCATTAAAAGTACCCTAACTACTAAAAACTTGCTTAATAAGGACTTAAGTTCCAATTGAGGAAACAAATAAGTACTGCATTACATAAGGCATTACATTTATGATATAAAGATATGTGCAATATTTATATCTGCGCTAAATAATGGTCTACTTTCAAAGCAAATGTCATTTTTTAAAATTTAATCTAACTGTTTTTTGATTAGAGAATCACAGGTCCTTCAGACAGAGAGTGGAATCTGCTAGTATTTTCCCAATTAACAGGTTAAATGTTATGAGAAGATGTCTTACTCATTAATGCATATTAACAAAGAACTTCTGACATATTTCTAAATGCAGAAACAACCACCAACCTTCAAATTTCATGCAATCAAGTAAAGTAGGGCTGCAGGTATTATTTTATTATTACTATTATTCTGCAAGTTGCTTAATCTGTCGATGATTTTTTTTTCGATTAATAATTGGATAGTAAACTTAACTTAACTTCCTTACTTTTTATGAAATTAAACCAGGGGAAACTAAAACTTTTCCACTTAAGTTCTGGATAGAGCATATTGACATTTTTAAAAAATCTTTAATGCAAAATTATTACATTTTTTTTTATTTTGGTATAATTACTGCTCTAAGTGGGCTGCTCTGTCAGCTAAAGCCATGTTTTAGAGTCTATACTCGAGTTAACGATTAATTGATTACTAAATTAGTTGACCATTATTTAAATAATTGATTAATCATGATTAATTATTTCAACCCTACAGTAAAGTAAAAATTGAGTCCAAGAAAAACTTACATTTGAGATTTACCTGATGCTGGAGGGAGGACTCGTAGCAGTAGATTTTTTTTATAATTACTTTTTGTTTAAAGTTTATTTTTCTTTTATTTTGTTTTTCATTTATTTACATGTCAAATGCGTTGACATTTCTATGTGTACTTTCTTAAAAACATGAACCAACAGACTATTTGGAAGAATTAAAAGGTAAACTTTAACCTGTTTTAGGGCTGGTTATTTAATTAGTTATTAAAACAATATAATAATAAATGATTAAAATTTTGCTACGTGTGTTTTGCTGAAAGAACAGTCCATTCAGAGTGGTACTTGATATAGCAGAATAATTAAAAGGATGCATCCTTTTAGCACTTAACGTATTCAGAACTATGCAGAATGTGGCATAGAGTTAGCTTCACCTGGTTCCTATTCTGTTAAAAATCTCCAGTTAAGTATTTTAATTTTTCTTTTATTAATCATTTTAATCAAATAAAGTTAACAGATTACCGTAATGGATTAACAAAATATTCATTAGTTGCTGCTTATTTGTTTCAGATAATTTCAAACTTCAAATCTTGCATCCTGACCTGAATATGTTATTTACAATAATAATTCTATGAATTTGTTTTTGCAGAAACTCCAGCTCACAATATGAAACAAATCTCTGGTATTTTTGTGTGGATGGAGCAGCTGGTAGCATAATGACTAATTCTTGTTTTTATTTTCCACCAGGGGACATGGCACTTACGTTGATGAAGACAAGCTGACAGCATCAGTTGCTGGAGAGGTTCAGAGGGTGGACAAGCTAATATGTGTCAGACCCCTTAAGACAAGGTGAGTCAGTGCACTTTAAAGAGCTGGTGCCTCTAATAACTCAGAAAACACATCTCTGCTGGTTTTCCTCAGTTTTATAGTTTTCAGTATTTTAACAGATATATGAATGCAGCTGGATTCTATTGTTGTTGTTTTTAATTGCAGATTCAATGGTGAAGTTGGAGATGTTGTAGTTGGCAGAATCACAGAGGTCAGTTCTCCAGAATTAACACCAGTTTGACCTTTATTTATTTATTTTTTATTGTTTTGTAATTTCCATGTGTGTTTATATGTAGGTTCAACAGAAGCGTTGGAAGGTGGAAACGAACTCCAGACTGGACTCTGTCCTCTTGCTTTCATCTGTCAACCTGCCTGGTGGAGAACTGGTAAGTTTTTTAGAAGGACTTTCTGTGTGTTTACAAATTTGAATGTTTGTTGAAATGTTTGATTTAATCTTTTAGAGGAGAAGATCAGCAGAGGATGAGCTCACCATGAGAGAATACCTTCATGAAGGCGATCTCATCAGTGTAAGGCAGATGGCGTCCGTTGATTTTGATTTCCTTTCACTTGTGCTTTGTTTCCATAAACTGTTGATATTTTTAATTTCCCCTGGATTTCAGGCAGAGGTGCAGTCTGTCTTCTCAGATGGGGCCCTGTCACTTCACACTCGCAGTTTAAAGTATGGAAAAGTAAGTTTTTGTTATTTCATTTTTTCAGAGAGCTCTGAATTTCTTAAATGCAATCAAACAGTGAGCATTTGACCTGTTCATTTACTGCACATCGACATAATATCAGCGGGTATAAAGCGTATCTATAATTTCTTATCTTTATTGTTAACCCTTTATAGGGCAAGTTACTTTTTTTGATCACTTGCATTCCCTTTACAAATGGAGTCCCCCCCGTCCCTCAGTGAGGTCTAGAAGCACAAGATCTATATCAAGCCATTCAGCAAAGATACTGCTACATGGCTGTACGTCTTATTTTGGCATTTGACCAATTAGATGAGCCCTTGAATGATGTATTACCTCCTGTAAATTAAGTTGAAAAAAATGTTAACAAGTTAAGAAAAAAAGGTGGAATAATAGAAGAAATCTACATTATGGAAAAAAAGGCATCATTTGAGACTTCAGTAAACTCAAATGGAAGTAAAGTGGATGAAATAGACAACATTCAAGACAAAAGACAGCGACAAAAAATAAAGAACTAGATAAATCAGATGGGACAAGGGTGAAATAGAGAAATGGCTCCCAGGCAAAGGTTTTATGTGATCTTATATTGAATGTGATGTGTTCATGTACATCGTGTATGTAAACAACTGTGAAAAATACTAATAAACAATTGAATGTTAAAAAAAAATTAGCAAAAAAAAAGGTAACAATTATATTTGGGTTTATAAACTAAAAAATATAAGTGCCAGTATCTGCATTAATGCTGATACTGGTACAATTCATGTTGTATCAAAAACAATGTGTTTCTTTCACTCTAAGTGTTTCTCATGAATTTCTTATAGAAGCACTTTTGTTATTTTTCTTAATATATTCGGGCAAGTTGGTGTTTCTTGTTATTACATTAACATTAATTTTGCCATCAAAATATCCATATCTTTTGAAGGTCTTGTCCAGAAATCCAATATCACTATTGGCTTGAAATTTTGATTTTCAAAGTATTTCACTGAGTGCCCTATGAAGGGTTAAAATTGTGTTTTTTGTGTTGGAATGGATAAAAAAAGTTTTATTATTTTAGATTTACTCTTTATCTGTTCGTCCTCTTTCTCTCAGTTGGGTCAAGGAGTGCTGGTGCAGCTTTCTCCTTCACTAATCAAGAGGCAGAAAACACATTTCCATAACCTACCCTGTGGCGCATCCATCATCTTGGGGAATAACGGCTTTGTGTGGTTGTATCCAACGCCGGGACAACAGGAACAGGAAGCTGGGGGCTTCTACACCAGTCTGGAGGTATAGAGCCCATCAGGAGATAAGCATTGATGCAACCAAGCTCTAATTCTTTTTTTTTATTATTATGTAAACATGTGAACTGGGCTTAAGGGAACTTGTTTTTGTGCTTTTGTTCTGTCTCCATCCATCCAGCCTGTAAGCCTGTCAGATCGGGAGGTGATTTCTCGGCTGAGAAACTGCCTGCTGGCTTTGGCTGCACATAAAGTGCTTTTGTACGACACAAGTGTTCTGTATTGCTACGAGTCCTCCCTCCAGCATCAGGTAAGGAATCAAACAGTAAAATACAGGTACATATCAATAAGATGGAATATCATGACAAAGTTTGTTTTATTGATACAATTATGTCAGTTTCTATTTATACATCATATATTTATAAATTCTGGTAATTAGATATGTTTTACTGTGTAAATTATTATTTAAAAAAACACTTTGGCAACCTAAATTGACTGGTGTGCATCATGCAGCCATTAATGCCCTCAAAAAGCGGCGTGATTCTTAAAAGATGGAACAAACTGGACAAAGTGAATGAAATGTTTGTGTGCCACCTGGTGGTCATATTAAAAATCTCAACTATTTCTACTTCATTTATTCTACTGCTGTTATAAATTTTTTTTTTCTTAAATTATTTTAGAGAGCCAGATTGTTGTACATGATGGTGCAATAGAGTATAGTTACTATCATTATCAATTTTCAAAATTGTTTTTTTGTTTATTAATTTCTCTTTGTAATACAATAATAGTTTTTTTTCACATTATAACAGTTTAAGTAAACTTTTTTCAATTAAAAACTGTCTCTATGCGTTCATTTTAGGTCAAGGACATCTTGAAACCAGAAGTGATGGAGGAAATTGTAATGTTGACACAACAGAAGCTGCTGGAACAGGAAGGTTAAAAACCAGTGTATAACAAAAATGTAATCAAATCTAATTCTGATCTAAATCTAATTTTGACCAAATTATTTCACATTAAAAAGCTGGTATAAAATTTTTTTTACTTGTTTAGAAAGTTATCAAAGTGTTTTGATGATGTACAATATACAAAGTAATTCTGTTGTTTAAATAAATTCAGTGATTTCTATTTGCTGGATGCTGAGTAATCTGTTGTGTGTAAACTCCAAGATGTAAAAAAATGCACTGATGTTTTTTGGGGCATAACTATCACTTAAACCGAAGGACTTTACACCCTTTTTAAAGAAATTGCTTCCATTAAATAGGCCCATTGCTCACTGATTCTTTTCGTTTCAGTTAGTCAGTATTTTTCCCTCTAAGAGCAAACCTCTGGCACATTTAGACTTTAAGTTAATGCAGGGTTAGACCCACATTCAGAGGCCTCAGGTAATGATGCAGCTGTCCCAGGTTCAAATCCCGACTTGAAACCTTTGCTGCATGTCATCACCTCTCCTCTTGGTTCCTCTTCAGTGACTTTCTAATTAGAAGTCACTAAATACAAAATTAACTAAAAGAGGACCAGTTTTAATAATCTTTTATTTGTATCCGTTACATTTAGTTAAAAATAAGATTTTGACGGAATCTTTCTTAATGAAAGAACCGTTAGTAATACAGCATTTAAGAAGAAGAGGAATCCGTATAAAGCCGCAATATCTGGAAATTGGTAACAGTAGTGTTGGGTTTTATCTATCCATTTTATCTGGATGGCTGATAAGGATCTTGACTTATTAGCAAACTTATGGTGGTGTCAACTGTTTAGCCAATAAATGGGGGAAAATAATATATGACTTAAAAGTTCTGATAACTTATTACTGATTCTGGAAGGTCTTTTTTTTTAAGCTGAAAGGTTGCTGGAAAAAAAATCGGTAATAAGCTGAATAGCTAAATTCCATCTACCAAGGTTTGAGTTTTAACTATAGTTTTGACAAGTTGAGCTGTAAGTGAGCCTAACTAGTCTGAAAGTTCCTAGCTTTAACCTCTTATAGAGCACTCAGTGAAATACTTTGAAAATCAAGGCAAGGCAAATGTTTTTGTATAGCACATTTCAGTACAAAGACAACACAAAGTGCTTTACATGATTAAAATATAGGAAAATAAAACAGAATCAAAGCAAGTGGTAAAATAAACAAAATAAAAAAATGCAGAAACAAAAAAGAATATTAAAAACTGTTGGACTAAAGAAATTAAAAAAAGTTGAACTAATGATGTTTCAGTTGAACTGTTTAACTAGAACAGTCGAAGGCAATCCTAAACAAATGTGTTTTTAGTCTTGATTTAAAGGAACTCAGGCTTGCCGCACTTTTACAGTTTTCTGGAAGTTTGTTCCAGATAAGTGGAGCATAGGAACTAAATGCTTCTCCATGTTTTTGTTCTGGTTCTAGGTATGCAGAGCAGGCTGGAGGGTTGATACACTGATAGCAAGTCTGTGATGTATTTAGGTGCTAAGCCATTCAGAGATTTATAGACTAACACAAGACTATTCTCTGAGATACAGGGAGCCAGTGTAAGGACTTTAGAAGTGGGGTGATGTGTTCTACAAATGGAGTTTGTCCTACAAACTCCATTTGTAGGGCAAGTGATCAAAAACGGTAACTTGCTCTATAAAGTGTTAAGTAGTTGAGTTCTAATTGTAATTAACAAATATGCTAATTGGAAAACACATCTGGGAACTCTGATAGTAACCAGTCAGTGCAATGGCGTAACGACACAACAATAGGCCAGTAAGCAACATTATCTGAGTGGGGCCCTATATGAAGTACAACACCCCATTCCCACCGTTGGGAAGTTTTTCCGGTCTTCCAGCTGCTCTTCTTTTCTTTTTCTTTTCTGAAATCCGGTTAAGTACCTCTTTTTGGCGTACTCTGTCACGAACACATTGTACGTAACGGTTATGTTTTAATCTACACTCTGGATTACCCATAATTCCAAGTTGTAGCATAAAAAATAAAATACTCAAATACATCATTTTAAGGTCTTTATTGCGGTTTGAAACATATTATGAGTGTATTTTTTTTACCAACCGTCTAATGAACTTAACATCTTTATTAACATAGTAATTAAAAGTACCACTGTATCGGTGTCGTGTTTAAACGTCTCACCATTATGTTGAAATCTGACATTTGTTGGGGTATAAATACGATCCTGTCAAGCAATGGAGCGATTATAACCAGGTTTCCATACATTACTTCAACCATTGCTTATTGTTTTTAACGCCATTGAATAAGTTGCAGTAGTTTTACAGATAATTAATTAGTTGATTTTCTAGCTGTAGTTTTCTAACTGTATCTGAATAATTTTACCGTAACTATAAACAATTGTAAATCCCCACCAGCTCCCAACGCACGCAAATGACGTCACACGTCGCCCAGCCCACCACACATATTTCTGTAAACCACCTTGCGTATGGAAGTATGGCGGCCTCAGCGAAACAACTGCTTCTCGGCCAAAGTTTACAGCGTCGGATTTCACGTGAAAGCGATGAATAAGTACGCAAACCGAGAAGGCGGTGTCGAAGAGCTCGGTGGCTGTGAGCGTCGGAGAGGGCTTGCAGAAAGAGTGGCTGTCTTTCCTTTCCCAGAACTTCCCCTCGCCTCCTTGATTGAAGCGTCTCCACTCCGGGTTCCAGAGGGGGAGAAGCTCCACAAGACGGGAAAAGTGGACACGGAAGTTGGAAACTAACTCAGCGCGTTGGCTTTGGAAAGTCCAGCTGCGAAGTGGGAATGTATGTTTATCAGACGGATTTGTTGAGACGTTTTAGTGCACTTGTCCGGGTTTTTATTTTTTTTGTCGGGAGGCAGCAAGGACCAAGTTTGGACTCGATGTGGATTTCGGGTCTGCGCTGCATACCACCAGCAGACCTGGGTTAGCTTTCATGGCTCCGGCTAACCAACAATTTAGGTGTTCCTGTGACCATGTAAGTTATCTTCTCTGGGTGACCTTTTTAGAAACAAAATTGGTTGTTTCCAAGTAGTGATTTTTGTTTTCTATCTTATATTATTGCCAGTTCCTGATGGTTCAATGTATATTGCGTCTGTTTTAATTGGATACATGAAATGACTGCAGATTTAAAGGTTCTTAAATCCTCTAAAACATGCTAAATGTTTTTAAACCATATCTGAATTGAAATGGGGACGAAGGAAATGAAAAACTATTTGTTTTTAAAATAACAAATAATTTCAAATTAGTAATTTTTTAACAAGTTTTATTTCCCTGATTTTTTTGTTTATCTACCACAGCTTGCTAGATGGCGTTACAAACCGAAACTCATACATATATTTACCAACTCTTATAGGCTTTATGCTTATATAACAATTTCTATGTGCAAATAGTTGCTTGTTAAGGTGTAATAGATAACAAATCATACAGTAGAGATGCAATAAACAGGCTAAATATTTCTTCTTTTCTGTATGTATGTGTATATGTAT